CGAGGGAAATGCGGCTTTATCAAAGAACGCCAGGGAAAGTTGCCACAGCGGATCGGTGTATCTGGGAATAAAGATAATTGGAAAAACTACATGCATCAGAATACTTTTCATAGCATGGCTGGCAAGTCTAGAAGTCTGTTTCTTGCCCCTTGCATGCTCTTACTTATTGGCTGGAATCATTGTCAAGATAAATCGCTCCCACTAGCAAGTATTGTTACGGGCTTGGATGTGCACAGAGATTTGAGCTACTGAACTGGTGACAATGATAATACTGTTAATATTATGTGCTGTATGTTACAGTTCTTGCCCGGGCTATAACGATTATTGAAGGCTGGCTACACGACTGCCGGAGGAGGAGCTAGAAAGGGATTAGGGTAGTTCGCAGTCTTAGACAAAGGATCTTACGACAGCAGCATTGTCTTGTGGATTGCAAGCTTGATCCGGTGGGCACTGTACCAGACACGACGTATCCTCAGAGGACTGGGGTTTCATCAACGACTGCACAAGTTAGAAAGATCTCGCAAGGACTTGCCTTGACCACGTGCTCGGAAGGTCCGGTAGGGTTGTATTCCGGTTGGATCGTGCAAGAGTGAATGCCGTGATATGAAGAGTCTATTCGCACGTGAGACAACGTAACGAAATGGGGGGAAACAGTAGAAACCATGCGAATATGGCGGCTATCGGCATGAAATCGACTTTGGTTGAAACCAAAATGGACGGAGGCAATGTTTTTTGACTCGGATAACTGTGAGATGACTAGTGAGTGCATATCTTGAGGCCCCGACTGTGACACTCACTTGCCAAATGTGGAGCTCATGCAGACCCAACACACCAGGGACGCGAGAATAGCCTCTCGAACTTCTTCGAGGAAACAGTGGAGGGAACACCCTGTAGGACAAAAGCAGCGCTGCGGACTGTTCCGTGGAGTGAGTGAATGTTGATCAGCGGGAGTACCGACGATGGTCGCACCCAATGGAAGAGACGAAGAGAAGATGATGATAGCGATAACCAAACTGATGACGGGGTCGAAGTAGTTTTGAATTGCCAATTTGTGCGCCAGATGATCATCCATCGCAATGACGCCGACATTACCGGAGCGTCTCCCAGCACGTGCAAGACAAGTGCTCGCATATTCATCGAGCCTGCATGCGAATGAAGTGGCCGTGACCATGGTCGTGGCCGTGTCGTGTCCGTGGGTGTGCTTCGTGAGCCTGTTCTCATGGGCGGAGCCGAGCAGTGGCGTGTTTTCAGACGGGCCATGGGAAAGCGAATGAGAGCGGGATCGCGGGCCTTCCAGCGACATTGTTCGGACATGGGATCTGGGTGGCGAAGTGACCGTTGACGAGCCATGTCCTGAGCAACTGAATCCCATTCAGATATGCAATCACGGCGTCCGCCAAGAACTCAAACCTTGCACGATGGCCGCGCGCGTCATGACAGGATGGCCAGCGAGTGCATAATCCGATTCTTCGGACTCCAGCCCAGGTCTGACGGTAGTTGGAGCTGACAGAAGATGCGGCAATTCGCGGAGAACCATTGGACTTGATATCGCCATGCGAATGCGAATGCCCGTGTGAGTGTTCTACTTAGGAATTTAGATCTATAGATGAGGTGGAGCCATCCACGAACCATGAATAGAAACAGCCCAACGATATTTGACGCCAGACCGAGCGTTCCGACGATGACGACCAACTGCGGATTAGATTTTTCTAACCATGTGTAAGCTGCGACCTCGATGATAGGCAAATGAGCACCTGGCGTGCTGAAGAAACGTTCCAAGGCCTCCAAAAAGATGGAAAAACACAGTGCTGGACGAATGAGCAAATCTATGATGGAAACCGAAAGTGCCTAGTACCAAGTAGGAATACACCGTTCACCAGCGCCGCAAGGATTTCGGCACGGTGCCAGCCATATGAGTATCGCGAGTCGCTTTCGTTCTCTTCCGTTAGCTATCGATCGTGTGTGAGCCACACAGTGAAGCAACACAGGTATGTGCTCACTTTGATAGCGTAGAGCGCCACGATCAGACTCATAACATCGCTGGGCCTCTGTCAGCGATAGCAGTAGAGTGCAGAACAGATTTCGACCGACTTGAGCATATGGAAGCTATCCGCTACGAGGGCTAGTGAGCCGACGGCATAACCTGCGGAAAAGTAGCAACTCTGAGATAGAGACTAGGCCAATTCGAACCAGAGATGAGCTCGACAAAGAAAAAAACAACATCTATCGCAAGCAGAATCTTGATTCTAGTCGAGCGCGACATGGGGTCGTGAGTGAAGGAGGTAACAATCAGCCTTTCGTAATCCGGAATGAGTATGGGCAATAGTTCTGTAAGATGACTGATCTGTGACGACATCGTGACGGGTGACATGATCCACGGACAACACAGTCCAACAACTCCTGCTTGTCCTCTGACTACTACCATGACCTCCGACGCCCAGCTGAAAAGCGAAATCGCGAGACTTACAGGCTGGTTTTCCCTTGTGTTCGGCTCTTTCTGCTCTGAATTGGCGTCTTCACAGCCACAATCGACCAGCATAAATCATCATCATCCTCATCTGGATATCCCTATCGGACACCCCGGAACAACAGCTATGTCAATCCGACGTACAGACCACCCGCCAACAAGTACATTCGATCGTCAATCCCGCCTCTCTCAAAGCCTCCGTCGAGTCGATCAGTGCCGCCCTCAGTTCAAGGCACAAAGGACGTCATACTCAACGGTGTCGCTTTCGAATCTTCTAGTCGATCTTTGGTTCGCAAAGATTGTGTGTTCGATTTCTTATCCTTGCAACACTTCCAACTTCTCTCAGTGCCTAAATCTACTCCTGTCCCCACCCCAAATATACCCACAGCTCGACCTCGCTTCAAGAATGGGCCGCGTATATATAAACCTAAAAGCTCTCGTCGCCGTGGTCCTGTGAACATGACGCTGACCAACAACAGACGACCCTACCAGTCCGTCTGTCCCTCGACTGTTGCTGCGTACTCCCCTGATCATTGTTTGCAGGTCTCGTCGGGAAATGAAGCGTCTCAAATATTCCGAAAAGCCATGCCCTCGTTTTTCTACCACTGGTGCGTTTTCTTTCAGCGGTTACCGACCTCTTCCTAAATGTCGACAATGGTGATTCCCCTTCACGTTCATTTCATTCTCCAGGCTCTTGTGCTCGTGGTCTTACATGTGCTTACGCCCACGATCCTGCGAAAATCGCCGTCTGCTGGAACTTTCTCCAGGGCACCTGTCCGAAGACGGCTGAAACTTGCGACCTCTCCCACGACCCGACGCCGGAACGGACGCCACTCTGTGTGCATTTTTTCAACAAAGGTCGCTGCACTCGAGATGCGTGCCCGTTCCCACATGTCAACGTTGGTACCCGCTCGGGTGTATGCCGCGACTTTGCTGTTCTCGGCTACTGTTCTCGGGGGCTCGACTGCGACAAGCAACACGTTCGTGAATGCCCCGACTTTGCGGAGCATGGTACTTGTACAAAGAAGGGATGCAAGCTTCCTCACGTCATTCGTGCCAATCGCAACCGAAGCCTCAGATATCTGCAAATTCCAACGCGAAGTCTGCGACTGCTCTGGCTCCTCTTGTTTCTTCTTCTGGTGCTCCCAAGGCTGACTCCAGTGTGGCGACTGTCACGGTCGAGGACGCCCAGTTAGGGGATGAGTTCATTTCGCTGACCTTCAATGAAAGTGAGAGCGAGACCGGGGATGATGACAGCGAGGACGGAGAAAGTAGCGAAGACGACGAGAGTGACTCAGATGAGTCTGCATCTGTTGCAGACGGTGACGGCCCGCCTCCACCGGAGGCGATGTAGCGTGCTTTTCGATCTTCGTCCATATCCTGTCTCGTTTTGTATCATACCTGCTGCGCTGTTGTATAAACGTTGGAAAATCAATAAAAAAACATTTCATTCGGACTGTGCACGATAATTAAGATGATTAGTCCAAATCCTCGCTTCATCGGAGGGAAATGAGGTTAAAGGAGAAGCCTTCCGTGGATTAAGAGCACTGTTTGCAAGCAAAAGCACAGGGAAGCAAAACAGTGGTAAGAAAAGAAAACAGGAAGCGAAACTTGTCTTCCATTGCTGCATTAAGGGGGAATCGAACCCCCGGCGGGTCGAAACATCGCAATGGCAACGACCCAGGTTACCACTACCCCATTAATGCTTAGAACAACCTCGACGGTGTAAAATATCGATCTGCGTCATGAGACCAGGTAGTGGCAGAGTTTACCATTGATTACTGACCCTTGGCTCAGGCTCACACAGGACACTCGCGACGAGATGGACCGCCCGCTCGGCCCCCGCCAGCAGCCACCTGGGGAACGCTCTACCGCTTACGAAGATATCTTCGGTCGTCGCGCTGCCAATCACCATTCCCAGCAGCCACCGTATCCTCCGAACCAGGCTCAATATCAGCCCTATCCTCCTCAGCAACAATACTACCCCTCGCAGGGATACCCGCAATACACGCAGCAGCCGCAGTACCGTCCTCAAGCTCCATATCCCCCGTCGTATCCGCAACTGCAGACCCCGTATCAATACGTTCGTGCACCCGCTGGTCCCCGTGCACCTAGCCTCCATTCCTCCGTCTCGCACCCGCCCTTCCAGCAAAACCACCCTGGGCATGGAGTTTTGGTCCCGCCACCGACCCAGATGAGGGATGAACAAGGTCTCACGCCGGCCCAGGCGTACCAGGCGCAGGTCGCGTATGGACGAACCAGTCCTGCACCTCCGCAGGCCGGTATGAGCCGCGGAAGTTTCCTCCCGCCACCTAAATCGAATGGGATCGCTGCGAATGGGGGTTGGGCGCTAGTGGGAGTAGTCTGGATCTGGGAGACCGGACCAGCAAGCCGCCATCTCTCACTGTTGCTATCGGCGAAGGACTCGGTTTCAACCTCAACTTCGATGACTTCGGCGCCAATTCTGCGCAAAACGAACGAGCGAATTCATCTGGTGCTGGGGTGTGGTCGACGACTCAGCGCCTGGGAGTTTTGATGATGATGAAGAAAGTGAACTGCCTTGGGCGCGAGGTGAGTATGTTCATTCCTATGCTCCTTTCGATTCCTCTCCCTTTGCTTCCCAATCTTTTCGTTCTCTGGCCCTTGGTCATATTCACCACCAGAAGCTCGATCGCACCTTTTCTACGGTTGCGATGGATGCTGCATCGATGGCACGACGTCATTTCCCATTTCGCTTCCCTTCACCTGCCACAGTCAAAATAATTCCATTGGTTTTCTGCGGAATAACACCCGTCCGGATTCCAATGGAGTTATACTCGGCCTTTTGTTTCTCGCAGCTTCTAAATGGCCTCCCTTTCTTTTTTTCTCTCTCTACCGGTTTCTGAATCGTTCCTTTCCAGAACGCGACTCTCCCTCTTCAACAAAGCGTGAGCACCTCTCATCTCTTCTTTTCCTCGTGTCTGCCTCCTCGCATGATATCCGAGCTACATGACGCTTTTGTGACGATGTGGCGCCTGTTTTGGAGACCATCTGCGGATGAACTAGGCGTGTCCACCATTTGTTCTCGTGATGCCCAGAACTTTATTCGCTGGACTGCCGGTGTTGGTTTCTGGACCTACATCTTCTACCGCGTGTTTGATCAGGCGTGGCCTTGTCATGGCTGTGGAGTGGGACTCGTTTCGTTAGCCCATTTTGTCGTGGCGTGGAACCGTCTCTCCTGTTGCTGCCTTTACTTCCATCTCTCCTACTTTTCCTCTTGTGACATGATGTTGAAGCTGACTTTTACCCGTCTTTGTCTTTCACATCTAGAACGAGAACGTAAGTTTCTGGACCATGTCTTTCTGATCTATTGTTCCCCCCGTTTTTTCAGCCCTGCTTTGGGCTAGAGACTGAACATGCGCGTTGTGTCACTCACACACGACGCACGTGGCTGCGTGCTCCATTTCGGACGCTTGATATCGATCTATTGGACACTATCCGGGTGCACTGCGCGTTACGTTGATCTCTCCGTCTGCTCTCGCTCTATTCTTGCGATGGGCTAGCGCTTAATTCTAACTTTCTTCTGATATGTGTCGGATCATTTACTGATTCTCTTCCAGCACCCTCCAATCCACCGCAACAGCCGCGAATACAACAGCCCACGTCGTATGGATCTCTCAGGCATCCACAGGTCCAAGCACATAGGATCTCGACTGCGTCCGACACACCTCCTACCTCCATTCGCTCCTCCGTCGCGTCTTCATCGACATCGCCGACCTCGCTCGAACATGAGCCATTCCCTCCCGCAGGGAACTATGCACCTTCCAATTATTCGGGAACCACACTGGCGGCCAGTAGTACAGGGAACCATTCGACGACCAACCGACGCCAGTCTGAAAGTGCGCGAACTCTACCGAGGCTTTCTGGTCCACGGAAAGACCGGGCAGCTCAAGACCGAGCGATGAGCATGTCTGCAGTGTCCTCAAGCTCAACGCCACCCTCCCCGGCATTCTCGTTGATTCCCGGCCCGGGTGGTCCGATACATACAAATTCGTCGTCCTCGACTGTCGCACACCCGAAACGACCGAGAGGTGCACCGATAGTGTACCCTGCCTTACTCTCGCTCGTAGCAGATGCATTCCGACAGCGGGTGCCTCTGGGTGATCGCGTGAAAGATGAGCTCACCTATCACGACGCGTTTGATGGACGAGAAGCTGTTGATCGGATAGCGCATATCATCAAGACAACGGACCGAAACCTGGCGCTACTGCTAGGCCGGGCTTTGGATGCTCAAAAGTTCTTCCACGATGTCACATATGACCATCGCTTACGCGACAGCGCATCGGAGCTGTATCAGTTCCAGACCAAGTTATCCAGCCCGTTCGCCAGTGGAGAGATGACGATCAAGGGAAGCGAGGTTGGGGAGAATCTGCTAGGTCCCCCGTCCGATGTCGTGTCCCCGGATTCGTTCGATGACGCGATTGGTCTGGTGGACAAACAAGATGATGCGCCGTTGCCCACCGGTGTGTTCACACTGTTGGCAGATTGCTACAGTCCGACGTGCAGTCGAGATCAGTTGTGCTACAGTATAGCATGTCCTCGGAGACTAGAGCAGCAGGCGAGGCTAAACATGAAACCCGAGCCAGGTCTCAAGAACTCGAAGGTGTGTTCTTATAGACGTCCGTCTTCTCAATCTTCACACTTCACACAGGAAACCATCGCCGAGACACTCAACGAGCCTGATGGCGACTCTGGTTTGCTGTGGATCCACTCGGTACCTGCGGAGATCCTCGCCAGCATCGGTGACACCGAGAGGAAGCGACAAGAAGCGATCAACGAAGTCATATACACTGAACGCGACTTTGTTCGCGACATGGAGTATCTTCGTGACACATGGGTCTCTCGTATCGCGGCAGCCGACTTCATTGAGCCCGCAGAACGAAAGGAGCAGTTTTTGATCCAAGTCTTCTGGAATGCTCACGATATCATCACTGTCAACGGCAAGGTTCGTGGCTCGAGTCTTTGGGAATGGAGCAGCAGCTGACAAGTCTTTGATAGCTCCGGGACGCCCTGAACAAGAGGCAACGTGGCTACGTTGTGGTGGATAAGATTGGAGACATCTTTATGGACGCGGTACCGCATTTTGAGCCATTCGTTATGTATGGAGCGCACCAGCTGTACGGGAAGTATGAGTTTGAGAAGGAGAAGGGGCAGAATCCTGCGTTTGCAGCATTCGTCGAGGTGCGTCTGTTCTCCATTTCCAGCCAGCCCATGTGCTAATAGTATTAGGCCACCGAACGACTACCTGAATCACGGAAACTGGAGCTCAACGCATATCTGACCAAGCCGACCACTCGTCTCGCTCGTTATCCGCTACTGTTGGAAGCAGTGCTCAAGCACACACCCGCTGACTCTACGGACAAACAGACCTTGCCGCTTGTGATTGAGAAGATCCGAGCCCTGCTCTCGAGGGTGAACGAGGAATCGGGCAAAGCGGAGAACCGATTCAACCTTGCTCAGCTGGATTCTCAGCTGCAGTTCAAGCAAGGGGATCAGGTTGTGAGTGTGCCTTGCTTGCCTGGTGTTTTCGGATTTTGTGACACCGGTTTCAGGACTTGCGTTTGCGAGAAGAGGGCCGTGAACTTGTCTACAAGGGTCCGCTCAACAAGCGAGATGGCGAGCTCCAGGTGTATCTGTTCGATCATGCCCTGCTGTTCGTCAAGATCGTTAAGCAGAAGCAGACTGAGCATATGCGAGTTTACCGCAAAGTGAGCTATCCTCGCTTCACGGTCGTTTCGATGCTTACTCTAGGCAGCCTATTCCTTTGGAACTGCTTCTCGTCTCAGCGTCGGAAGACATGAACGGCAAAGATAAGGACACGCTGCGAGGTCAACGGCGGCAGCTCGTGCGAAAGTCGTCGTTCGGGAACGGCGCTGGACAGCGGGGGTCGCCACATCCTCCTTCAGTCGTGATCCGAGCAGACGCCAAGGGACCGAATTGGATCAGTTTCTCGCACCTGGGGAGGAAGGCGTACAGTCTGGTGCTGTCTGCCGGCACGCCATTGGCTCAGCGCAAATGGATGGAGAATATCATCAAGCAGCAGACGGCTATGCGCGAGAGGAGTCTGGTCTTTGATACGATCGCACTGAGCGAGGGTTTCTTCGGTGCCAATAAGGTCAATTGCGCTGCACCCTTCAGTGAGCCCCGTTTGTTTGGATATAAAGGTAGTTCTCTGATGGTGACACTAGGCGGTGGACGGCGTATCGTGTATGGCACTGACGACGGTGTCTACATCTCTGACTTGCGGGAGCTTCACAAGGATCCCGTCAAGGTTCTTGCCCTGCTTGACGTTAGTCAAGTAGATGTTCTCGAGGACTACCAACTGCTTATCGTTTTGTCGGGTATGTTTGTTCGCTCTGTCGCGAATATCCTCCGATAGCTGATATCTACTCAAGAACGCCTTGTCATGACTTTCCCTCTGGAAGCGCTGGACGCAAATGACCCGACGGCTGGTCTCAAGCGCGCCAAACGGATTGCAACGCATACGTCCTTCTTCAAAGCCGGGTATTGTCTCGGGCGGGTGATTGTCTGTGTCGTCAAGTCAACGCAGCTCTCGTCTACGTTCAAGGCTCTCGAGCCGATCGAGCAGAATGTCCGAGGGCGTGCTAAGCCGACGTTCAAGAAGCTTCTGCAGGGTGGAAACGACACCCTTCGGCCGTTCAAGGAATTTTATATTCCTGTCGAGTCTACCTCGATCCACTACCTCAAGACTAGGATGTGTATCGGCTGCTCTAAAGGCTTTGAGATTGTGGATCTGGAAACACTGGAAACCCAGGGTCTGCTTGATCCCTCGGACGAAAGTCTCGAATTCGTTCGCAAGAAGGAGAATTTACGGCCGATGGCGATTTATCGAGTCAACAATGACTTCCTTTTGTGTTACGATGGTGCGCCGGTCTGGCTTTTGTCTGTTGCTGTCCTACTGAACATCTGCGCAGAGTTTGCGTTCTACGTGAACCGGACCGGTCGACGATCGCGAAAGAACTTTATCGTCTACTGGGAAGGAACACCCACTGGTTTCGGTGCGTCGTCGGCATGCTTATGACACGTGCCGGTGCTGATACATATGCAGCACTGCACGAGCCATATGTGCTGGCGTTCGAGCCCTCGTTCGTCGAGATCCGACACATCGACACTGGCTTGATGTCGCAAGTGATCCAAGGGTCGAATCTCCGCCTACTTTTCGCTGACACCCCTCCGTCTGTGAACAATGGGACCGGGTATGCATATAACCAGGGCGGGTATGACCGCTCACCGCAGTTCAACCCGTATGCGCCTCCGCAGTACCAGTACCAGCAGCAGCAGCAACAGAGATATCCGCAGGGCGTGGGGCGGGACGAGATCTTGATGGTTTCCGACGACCGGGTGCTTGCGCTCCGGACCGCCGAAGGGCCGCAGCGTTTTATGTCTGATAATGTGTCGATGATGTCCATGCCTCGATAATCGCTTTCGTTCACACTATTAGTAGTACTGATTGTCAATTGCGTTTTCTTTTACATATACAGTATATATATATCATCCACCATTACACTTGCTTTTGTACACTCACTGCAATACCAGGATCCTCTGTTCTCAGCAATGCATTGAATTCAATGTGTATTTATCGAAATATTACAGAAAAATTTGTTGTTTAATGGGTGGCGATGACGAGTAGAAGGTGACCTTGCAGTTGAAAATGTCGTTTTGGTCATTAGCCTTTGCCGACCTACCCCCTCGCATCTCACCTAAAAAAGGTGGTTGAATTAAAACATGCATTAAGGGGGAATCGAACCCCCGGCGGGTCGAAAGTCAGCACTTTCATATGGCAACGACCCAGGTTACCACTACCCCATTAATGCTATGGACACAGTCTTCTCGTCGTCATCCTATACTGAAAACACTTAGCAGGATGTCGTCATTGACCATTCCTGATCGGGTCTTGCGCTTCTTCCTCGACCATGACCTTCACTCAAGAAATAGCTTCATTCGTGCTCCCAACGCGGACATCGGTATCTGCAGTGCCTAAGGCTGGTACACTCGCCCCAACGTCGAGCCTCCTTCCCATTCCGCCGCCCGACTCCCGCCCAATGGTCGTGACTTTCTTGCGGCACTGTGGTTGCCCGTGTACGTGCCTGTGCGCCCGGAACCCCGCGAGCCGCTTTTGAATGACGGGCGGACTACCACACAGTTGCAGAGAAGACCTTCAAGCTCCTGCGTGAACTGGCGAACGAGCCGTCAAACAGTCACGTCCGCTTCGTCGCTGTCTCGCACAGCGATGATAGCACGACAAACGCGTGGGTCGAAGCGCTCGGCGGTCCCGGGTCTGTCGAGATCCTCATTGACGCTGGCCGGGAGGTATACGCGCTCTGGGGACTCGGTATCTCCTCATTCAGCCATTTCATGAGCCCGTCGGGTCTTTGGGCTGTGTATCAGCTGGGAAAGACGGATGGCATCCATGTCCGGTCGACGGAGAGCGGTAGTCGGTGGCAGACGTCGGGCAGCTTTGCGGTGGATGGGGAAGGTATCGTCAGGTGGGGTCACCCGATGGCGAGTGCGGGCGAGATTCCCGACTTCAGGGAAGCGTTGAGAGCTGTCAACTAGGCCGCCCGTTCCGGGAAACGGGGTGTCAACTTGCCCGTACGACGATGAAGTTGTTACGATTGTAAGAAATGCGATGAACCATGCGTGATACTGTACTTGTATGTATGTACCACTAGCCGTTAGTATTGCGATTTGAGAAATTCACGAGCTCAGCCGTTCATTCACATTTCGATGAGCCTTCCCGTGTGAGTCCTGGCGATGACCTCACCAGCAGTCTGCAGTCTATATCCTGATGGATATCGGCTAGCTATTATCAGCTAATATCACGGTAGAGGCCGTGGCTGTGCGATGATGCCTCGGCCTTGGTGTTTGTGCGATCCTTTCAATTCGCCTGAAGTGCAAAAGCTGTCCTTACTCAAATTTACTCAAACCTGATCTCTAGTGGATCATAGCACCCTTTCCCTACGACATGTGGAAGCACGAAATGTTCTTAACCATCAACATTATTCGAAACAGCGAGGTATCGAAGATGGATGAAGCCGTGTTCCCACGTCCGTTGCCAGTTCGGAAGATGATGTTTGCTCCGAGTCTTGAGGTGCGGACAAGTAATCCTCGGTCGCACAAAAATCATAGAAATGGGAATCGCGGTTCCGGATTGCCTGCACCTGACTGCGAAAAGGATTCAATGTCGAAGGACCAACTTACGGTGAATAGCGTTGAAGGGTATGCGCGTCGGCGGACATGTTCCTTATGGGAGGCGGATATATGCGGCCGGAGACGTAAAACTGCTAATGCAGGCGTAAACAAGCTCAGTGACAGCTTCACCAACTTGATCGTCGTGTTTCTGCCCTCTCCCTCCAACCACTCTGTCCGAGCGCCCAGATAACAGCCCAGGATCGATCATGTTCGCCAATGCAGGTAGGTGTCGCGATGGATGGTTGACACTCCTCCTTTCATTGAGCGTTTAGAGTCCTCCAGTCCTATAGTCGCGCCGAATGCGAGTCAGACGCGACGGAATCCGGAAGAACGCGCTACATCATCACCACCTTCAGCACGATACAGTGGCTCTGACCTGAGCCAGAGAAAACGAGACTCGGAAGAAACGGGCACTGATCCCACCGCGCATGCACCTCCGACTCTGCCACCCGTGGAGTCAAATGTCAATCGACAGGCACCACCGTCGAACTCTGACCGACCAGGCCTCGGCCCAGCATCTAGGCCCTCGACGCCGCCACGAGACTTGATAGATCGCTTTCGTGGACCCGTATCTCCGGGACTGCCTCTCCCGCCTCCGTCGTTGTGCGCAGAAGATGAGATCGACATCACCTCCGTTGAGGGTCTGCCGCCCCGGCTTCGTGCCGCATACGTCGAGGGTGCCAATACTGTGCTAGGATGTTCACCCGCCAAAGCAATGTACCTCGTTATGAAGGCGAAGCATCGCTTTGCTATGCAGGAACGCGATCTCCTCGAGCAAGAGTTGCAGAGGGCTGAAGCGGAGTTAATGAGGGAAAGGGAGTGTAAGGACCAAGCGCTCGATAGTCTGTTGAGACGATGGTTAGGGTGCGTCTCTGATCCGGGTCCAGGTCCGAGTGCTGACAGTGATAGTGCCCCCAGGTCAGAGGCAGATCACTTGATAGCGGAGATACCCGTCCCTCCGAGTATGTTCGTAGAACGGGTTGGCGCTGCGAGCAATTCCATGACGAACACGAGATCATCACAGTCGTCGTACGAAATATGTAATCCATGAGTTCCCAACGTGTGTGCTCTTTCGTCTCCGTTCAGGACTATACTGTGTCGGCCTTGCTCTTAAATCATATCTGACTCGTCAGCTCTGCCCGACTCAAAACAGGCCGCGAAGCTCGGAGTGAGGCATTTTGAAAACATTTTGAGTTGTTTGATGGAGAGCGAGACATTTCCCGGAGTGATCGATCAGCTCGCCCTGTCACTCCGGAATTTGCAATGAGTGACATCACCGCTCGGACCCTGGGGCATATAAACGGTAGCTGGGGCTTACTCTGCTCCTTACCTACCAACCACTTCTACGAACGACTATCGAAGAACCAACTACAAAGATGTTCACCGTGCGTTCCCTCGATTCTGAGACTCTCATAGTGGCTGAGATTTCTCTCAGAGCACCCAGATCCCCACCACCCAGCACTGTGGCAGCACGACCTGCAACTGCGGCGCCAAGTGAGTCTATCCAGTTCTTACGCTAATGTTGCGCTGACGTGCATGACAGCTGCGCCTGCAAGCCTGGAGAGTGCAAGTGCTAAAGGTTCAGGCGAACATCCCCACCCCATGTACATAGGGTAGCAATTGTAAACGCCATGAAGCATGATCAGCATTATCTGTGATGTGCGTCATTCCTCAGATAAGATAAGGCAAAGAAGACGTCAGCCAGGCCTAAGAAGATTATCAAGCTACTGTTGCTTGCCTATCGGATTCTACAAGTATGTCTAATACATGCTGTGGAAGCAGGTTGCATCGCAACGTGTCATCACTGTTGAGAGTGACTAGTAATACATTGGTCGTTCTTTCTCCAACGCATCCAGACAATGTTGGATCAGAGAACGTTGACCTTGGGCCACTGGTACTGAGGACCAACCTGAAACAGCGTAAAATTATGGGAGTGGCAAACAAAGGATGACCTACTTGCTGGACACACATGCTTCCCAGCTTGTGTCCTGCCTCCACACACTCATCGATCGACTTGCCCGCGACGAGGGCTCCGAGGAAACCACCCGCAAATGCGTCGCCGGCGCCGTTCGTGTCGACGATTTCGGCATCCGCCAGCTTGGTCACGGGATATATCTTCGGGCTGTCGGGTGTCGCGGACGAGACAAGGATCGTAGAATCAGCGCCCTGCGTGATGACAACAGTGCGGGGCCGAGAGGGGTTGGATTTGGGCAGCAGCGCGATCGCTTTGGCGACAGCGGGGAGGTCTTTGGGGTCTGCGAGACCGTTGGCGCTAGCCCATGTCTCGGCTTCAGACTCATTTCCAATGACCAGATCGCAGAAAGGCAGGATCTGCTGGAGCGCCGGGCCAAAGAACTGGGGGATGAAGGGAGCGGAGAAGTTGATCGCGAAGATCTAGATGGAATGAGACGTGCTTGAGGACAAGCAACAAGGAGACAGACCTTGGACTGCGCGGACGCCTTCTGACTCAGATAAACGATGCTCTCAGTGCCGTGAGTCAGGAAATATCCCTCCACGTAGAACACTTTGGCGCCATCGACGAGAGGTGCGACCAACTCCGACGTGAGATGCGATTTCTCGAACTTCTCGGCAACACGGAGCGTAGTCACGAGCGAACTAAAAAAAACGATGGGATATCCTTCAATGAGATGTGTAACAAACTCACCGGTGGTGTCCAGTGATGATGACAGCGCAGGCTCCGGTCTTTTCCCCCTTCTTGACCTGGTAAACCTCCTTCAGACCTTCACGCTTGTTCGCAGTCTTGAGCTGCTCAGCAAGGTCATCATCACCGACGCAGCCAGTGTATACGACCGAGTCAGGGGGCAGCACGTACTACCGACCATGTCAGCTTCATCGATGTGGATGGTGAAACAACGCTCACCGCAGCACCGCGCGCAGTGTTCTGTGACGCGCCGCCCGCAACGTACGTGATGTCATACTTCTCAACAATCTCCGGGTACCTAAGATTGTCTCAGAAGGCTGAGTTATTGTGCACTGAACGCGTACAGGCACTCGTGTTTAGCTTCGGCAAGAATTGCGTCGTTGGCCTTGAGGTCGTACTTCTCCAAGATCGCCTCGCCCTTCGTGACCTGCATGTCGAGCAGAGGGTTTCCGATGCAAAAAAGCTGGTAAGACATGCTGAAATTTTATGGTGGTACGAGAAGAGAAGGATTTCTGCTATCGCCTGGTCAGATCACGATCAATTGATCGGTCAGACCATGGAATGAGTTGATGATCCTCCGAGTTACGGTAATTCGGAGGGACCGGTGTGGACCAGGGTGTGTGGTAGAGTGCATATTTCAGAATAATTTGAAGAATATATGATGTCCTGTATGGAGGATGCTCGCTGCAAACCAATATTCTGTCGTCTTGGACTCTGTAAGCAACGATGAATTTTCGCCCCGCTCCCGCACGGGACAGCACTGTGTAAGTAGCACTGATAGATGCCGGTGGGCCCTTTAAAATGTCAAGACCACGCGCATGCTTGGATTCACTCCTCGCATGGGTCGTCGTTGCTTGGCTGGCTCGCCGTCCCAATGCCGGTGCGTACGCGCGAAATGACAGTTCTAACATATCAATTCCGATCAATGACCCTAGAATGTTGCTCCGGAATCTCAAGGTTTTCTGCAATGCTGGACAGTCCAAGTTTCATCTAGGATGGTCCATGTCTCTACTCTGATATCAGAGAAACGCAATCGACTACATGATCGTCACGAAGCTATCCAACGCCCTGTCCTGCACATCCCACGTCTCTCAGGTCGAGTGAACTCGCCGATTCCGCCGCACGTACGCCTCGTATCTCTCCGCTGCACGCTTCAGCCTCTCGAAGATTATCTTCTTTCTGTCTTGCAGCGGGAGCCCCTTTTCTTCCTGCGTGAACTCCGTCTCGATCTCCCAATCCTCACGCTCCGGCCATATCCTGCGCTCCCGTTTCTTCATCAATTTCAGCTGCGGGATGGAATCTTTCAGAGGGGGCAGATCCCCGGACATCCCTCCCAATCTGTGCGTGTCCCAGAATTTGTGCGGATCTATCTCATGGCCCAGCACCCTCAGGTGCACCTCTCCGCCGCCGAGTCGCACGGTTCCATCCCGCCTGCGTTCAGTGATCCGTGGGTGGCCGCCGTCATCATAGACCGACTGCCCTCCAAGCGTAGTTGCATCGAGATCAGTGGCCGTCAGAGGCGGGCCGTCTGCGACCGACCCAGTGGGATTCCCTCCATGTTCCAATTCGTCCCACGCCGCAGTCTCCCCGGCGTCCTCCCCGATCCGGAAGGGATGCAAGAACTGCGACGCAAACTGTGTCTTCACGTTGGAATTGGGCTCAAATGCGGCATCCAGTTCGAACTCGTCTGCGTCGAGATCGTGGGCGGTTTTCCGTCGTTTCATCGAAGGGCCCGGTTCGTCAGCCTCGTGTCCTGCATCCGGTCGGTCTTGTTTGGTTCCCCGCGACCTGTTATGCCTGCGAGTATCGAATTCGGGTAGCAGGTAATCTTCCATGATCGTGTTCCACCGGTCGCGGTTGAACTCGACGATCGGGTGACAGTCATCGTCAAAGTACCGGTGCTGGAGGAGCGTCGAATACCGGTTGTGCAGATTCGTCAACGACGGCCAGCCCACAATCACCCGCAGCACGCTGTGTTTCCCGCATCCGTCGAGAACAGCCAGCTCATCCGCCGTCACGTCGAAAGGTTGAGAGAAGTCGGGCCCAGAATAGTGGTCGACCATGCGTTTCATGAACGCTTTGTTTCTGCGCTGGTCGAAGCCGGGGATCTCAAGCCGATTCGGAAGGCTGTCCATGTCCTTGAGAATTTGGACCTGGTGGGCTCCCAATGGTTGTGGCTCCTCGTCGAACACTGCATCCTTTTTCTGTGCAGACCCGTTAGCTGGCGTGATCTTGAGAGCACGATCCGGTCAGCTCACTCACCCGTCGCTCGTAATAACCGTCTGGCGTGACGGTAGGCAGCGCCTCCTTCAATTTGCTGGGCTCAAGCTCCTCAGCGGCGGAGAATTTGGACTGGATAGCAAGCCAAATGAGCGATCGTTGCGCGTTGTGCAGCCGCAGGACCATCACGAGGTCCGGACCCATGAACTTGTCCGGGAAGCAGATCGACGCTCGCTCCAAATGTTGCATCCATCGGCGCGTGTCCGATATCGTAGATGCACAGTATCCGAGTGAGTTGCTTGGCCCCGACTGGTCGGTCACGGGCGAAACATCATATTCTGCGGTCCAAGACTGGGCTTTGACGGGGTCATTTGGTCTCGAATCTTGATTAGTGCAGTAGACGGAGACCAGGTCGGCCGATGTTTCTGCCCATTCGGGGATCTTCAGCCCCTTGTGGAAGTGAAATATCTCCTTGAGCTTCGCACCCGATTTGAATGCCACGGCGCAGTAGAACGCAATATATTCTTCGACGCCGTTGTTGCCCGCGTGGTTCTGCAGTCCCCCGACCGCTGCCTTGCGCAAGATGGCTGCCAGAGGAGCGTCGCAGCTCTGGAGCCATTCCAGCAACGCTCTGATCGCAAGGGGCTCGTCCATGAGCAGGCGCACGTCCCCTTCGACACCCATGTCGTTTTCGTCGTAACGGGCGACGCCGTATTGCACCAGTTGGCCGAAATCCTCCAGCACTCTCCCGTTCCTGTCTTTGTACTTCAGGGGCATCGGCGTGGATGTTATCTTCGACCGCATGCACATCTCTGGAACGTACGTGCGCACGAGTTCGACGAATCTGACATCTGCAGAACCGGTTCAGTTTCGGGCCACTTCTGCAGAGCGATCCCGAGGCCAAACACGCACTGTCTTTGATCTTTCCAAAGTCGAACAGCCGCTGTTCGCCAATGGTGATCACTAATGGATCACCGCGATTCGCCTCCAGCTCAGACTCCAAGTGGATGGCCCCATCCGTAGCATCGAACCCATCCGAGGTGAAACGGCCGAGGGTCCTGAGCAGAGGCGACTTGGTCGCAACTTTGATGAATGCGTTCAGCCTCAAATGGGGCAATTGGTATCCGCTCATGAGAAGCTCCCGGACGAACGCAGAGGTAAATCGGTATCTGCACTCAAAGATTTAGCCGATCCACGTCTCACGTTGAACGACCCGGATCCTCACCGTCCTCGCAGCCAGTAAACGATTCGGTCAAAGAGGGCTTTGAAACTCCGTGTGGCGAGCAGATCCGACGGTATGTACTTTTTGACATAGTCGATATGGTCTTCGGGTTTGCTGAAGGCGCCGAAATGAGTGATGGGCCTGTAGTCATTTCCTAGTTTGAGGAACTTGGAGGCCAGTATTGCGTCGAGAAGGACACGAGCCAGCGCAGTTCCCGTGAACACAACCGCCAGGTTGTTCTCACGCGCCAACAACACGACGCCGAGCTCTCGAAGGACAGGGCGGGCTGTTATTTGGATGTCCTCAGGATCATGAGACATGAAAGCGTGCTCCAGGGTCGTGATAGCAGTTTGTGATTCATCAACAACACAGAATAGGCGCTCATTGAGACCGATCTTGAGGGAAGAGTGTAGGGTATGCAATTTTGCCCTGGTCAAGGTCTTCAGATACTCATCATCCAGGCCGAGGATCCTTTCCAGCGTTGACTGGAATACGTCACCGCCGTTGGGTCCATGAGGTGGGTGCAGTTGTAGGATAGTCCACAGTCGCCTATTTTTGGCACTATCCAGTGGCCCGATCGGGTTGAGCTCCTTCAACACATCCAAAAACCATGTCAAGATGCATATCCGGGCCAGGAGGACCTCAGATATCCGGCTCCGAGCAATTTCACAGTTGACCCGATGGAGGCTACTGAGAGTCACATTTTCGTCCTTCTTTGCCGCTTCTTCCAGATTCTCGACGAAGGCCGGATCTAATTTGATGTGCTTGTTGAAGGCAATCGAGAGATCGCGGGACCCCCGTCCCTCCGAATCGACTGCACAGGTCAGGTAGAATCCCCAGTGCCCGCAAAGTCCCTCGATCATAGTCTTTGTCTTCCCTGCCCCCGGGGCATTTACAAGTGATCTGTAAGGACGGGCTGGATGAGCGAACTTCCAGCAAGGACAATCAATTCAGACATACACGACGGGCGGTGGAGCTTTCAGAAAGATGTTGCGAATAGCACGATCCAGGCTGGAGCCCTTCTTCACATTGCCGAGGTCGTGAAGCAACATGTCAGGCACATTCTCGCCGCCGGGTGTTCGTGGAATCTTCAACTTCCTGAGAAACGAGGAGTGTGGAAGGATGTGACTGGGCTCCCACGGAGGAAGAGGGTCTCCCTGAGCAAGGAATTCACGCAAGATATTCTTTACTTCCTCTTCAGCAGCCTGTAGCACTGCAACAGCTTGTTGCGGGGAGATCGGGATCACAAAAGTCATCACTGGGAAGAGGTCAGTCAGTCAGCATCGGCATGAAGCGTGCGCTTCATACCTTCATCCAACAAAAACTGAAAATCTGCCTCCGATGATTCAGATTTCCGAGTCTCGCTCAAGATTCTCTGCAAGAAAGTGGCATCCTCCTCCGCTCGAAGCGCGGGATTGGACTGCATAACAGATCTCTTCTGACGCCAGGTGGGGTACAGCTCGTCCGGGTCCCTCCCAATGTCCCGGGCGATGAAGGTGAAGACCCTATTGATGCTATCCGATACGGAGAGGTGAGGGCCAACTTCGAAGCCCGATATAAACGGCCTGAGAGTCCCATGAATCCGAGCGTTGAGCTCAGGCGTCGCCTTCGTCTGGAACGAGCGGTGAGCGCTTGTGCTGGACATGGGGGAGCTGGATAGACGGAAGGAAGAGAGGGAGGGGGCAGGAAGGAACAAACACGCGGCTGCCTATAAGCTGGCACCCACAAAAGACTGCCATGACAGATCGTTCGCACGGCTTCGGTGCATATGACGAGATACCTACTTGTACTAACAAAAAGCGCGGGAACATTCGGGTAACGATGCCTGACGCACAAAACTACCTAGTCTGCGCGCGCGAGCTGAAACGGGAAGGTTGCGGTACAATTTTGATGGGAGTCTGGTTATCCCCGGAAGACTGCGGCGAGAGCGTGACTGATTGGTACATTTGCTCGAACGCGTCAGTCATCGAGATCTGCACCGATATTTTGTAAAACTGTCCGGTGTTCAGCCCGACTATGGCCCGGGATTTTGTGGCATTCTTGATATGTGCTTGGCCTGGAAAGGACGCCATCACTCGCATCACAGGCGCTTCTGTCAACCGCGGCGGACGTTTCCCTTTCCTTCGAGCCACGGTCGGTGGTGGGACAGGGAGCGAGTGCAAACCGCTGATGGCTTTCTCCCTCATCTCTTCAGGCTTCGGGAAAATGTCAGCGGTCATGTCGGCAAAAGAAGCCAAACGTACAAGAGACAAAAACAGGGCATCATCATCTGCTCGAGAGATCATCTGTGTCAATCTCGAGTCCCTGAGCGTTGTCGTCGTCCCCAATGCCGCGACTACAGCTTGGACAAACGTCCCATCCGGAGTGCGAAACACGAAGAACAGATCGGCGTGCGGCAGATCGGGGAGACAGAATGGAGACCCATGTCGCTCATTGTGCGACAGCCAGCTGACCAGCTCATTGGAAGCGAATGGGGAAGCGGCAAGGCGAGAGGTCAATGCTTTGTCGGTCAGCCGATATGACTCCCCGCGGTACACGCTGACCAGCTCCGACGGGCGCTTCGCCCATTCAGGGGCACCACGCGGAAATGAGAAGATCGTTTTTGGTGCTGCTCGCGTGAAAGCGTGCGCGAGATAGATCACAAGCACACACGCAAATGTGTCCGGGTCCATGGGCGAGATGAGCTCCACCACATCGAGCAGTGACGTTGGCCGAGGAGAATCAGGATCGGAGGGTCCAGATTGCGGCGTTCGCACGGGACAGAACCACTGCGCTGCGGCTGCGAGAACGAGAAGCGGTTCGTCGAACACAATCTGCGAGCGATTCTCATCACAGAATCGACCAAAGGCGTTTGTGACGAGCTTGATATGATCAAGGCCAAACGGACGGCCATGGCTTCCAGTGGTTGCGTATCGAAGAAGCACCAAACGAATAGCAGCAGCGCGCAGAGAATAAGCAGCTAGTAGTGATCAGTGCCACCTTCATGGAACTTGGAGATTAGCCATACGATGTTTCAGGACAGAGAAATTGATTCTCGGATAGATGATGTCAGCATTGATTGGAACCTCCGCTCGGATGAACGGATTGTCGTCCGGGGGATAGAACCCGGAGATCACGTAAAAATGGGCGCTGAGAATCCGATGTGGGCTCTTGAAACCGTTCCTGAGCAAAGAATACATCAGGCTGTCGGTGATTCGATGTCTGAGCCTTATTCAGAACGATAGTAACACCAAGCAGAATTTGACTAACCTCCCGCGACAGAGCTGCCAGCACTGCGTCAGGAAATGTTGGCCAGCCTCCGAGCGAGTGTAGCGGGAAGGTAGCCACTGAGAAACGTAAGCCTTATGCCGGGCTTCATCGTCGAAGGCTCCCGTGTCCGATATCCAGCGATGTAGATGAGAGTTGGGAGAGCGCGAAAAGCCCTCGGAGGGGATATCAGTCCCTGCCACGATGAAAGAACATTTCTCGCCGGGATACACCGCAACAAGACCGTCCACAAGCTCTCGGAGGAGCGGGTAAGGAGAACCATCTGGATCCCGCAGAAGGTCTCGGTCACGAAAATGATTGAATACGACTTGAGCCTCATCGAGAATGATGAAGGGATGGAAGTCATCTCCTAGGCGCTTGCAAAACTTCGAATGGAGGAAGGAGAGATAGTCAGCGATGAAGTCATCGTCCAGCTTCCGTGCCGACAGTAGAAGTTGTACAAAGATATTGAGTCTGTTTCCCAGTGCTTCCGAGATCACTTGAAACAGTGTCCAAAGTCTTCTACGCTCTGCCATGTCGCCGTCAGCACTCGGTGGCAGGTCCAGAAACATATCTAGCACAAGGAAACGACACAAAAGCAGTCCACCCATGCATCGATGAATTGCTCCGACGCGCCGATCTTGAGAGGCGTTTGAGATATCGTAGTGGAAGGTAGATCGCAGATGCATGGTGAAAACATCATCCAGGTCTCCAGCGCCGAAGCCGTCTACATCTGTCTCGCCGACAATGTAGAATCCCCAGCGTTGGCAGAGTCCCTCGAGCAACAGTCTCGTCTTGCCCGTTCCTGACGCGTTCACCAAGAACCTGCATCCAAAATATATATCAGAGCTGAAAACCAAGCCTGCCACTCACGTATGCTTTCCTCGCGCAAAGATACGTTCCACTCTCGCTTTGAGGACAGAGTCTTGAGAGAAACTCCCCAGCTTCCACAAAAGAAGCAAAGGGGTGCGAGGGTTTCGCGGAATGGCGGGAATTTTCAAAGATGCGATATGTGCTTTGTCCTTGGTGTCCGCAGTTTCTGACGACCAGTCAAATATGGCGTGTGGGTCAACTTGGCGCACAAATGCTTCCATAGACGAAGAGTAGGTAGCCAGTGCGTCAGCCATCTCAGCCGAATTCAGTTGCCGTTGCAGGGCATCTAGAGCGCATGAACTTGGTATGCAGCGCAAGTGCTCAACAACAATAGCCAACGTACCGTGCTTGCCGACCTCAGAAAAGTCTCTTGAAGCATACCCCTGCTTGAGGAGCAGATGCAAGTCGTCGTGTCGCGTCAGAACGCGCCGGCAGGGTATTGTGTTGGTGTAGAGCGGATCCAAGGGTGTCCCGCTCTCAACGAGCGCCGCAACCACAATTCCGAGGGCCCGCGCAGCTTCATCGAGATCCTCCAAGTCTTCAAACACGTCGAGCTCGGGCAGTGGGCCCGGGTGTGCCATGGGCATCAAAGAGCATTCGCGAGGGACCGAGGGTATGTTGGTCGTTTACATATCTGTGGTGCTGGGCTGTGGTTAGGGTCAGATCTAATTCCCACAATCTTTCAAACCCCATCCGGGCCAATGCAAATCGAGACCGACAAATCTCTACGGATTTCTCCAGCCGGGACAAAAGACGCACATCATGCTGAAGATTCAGCTCTGTACGGCCGCGAGGGACCCCAATGTTGAATTTAGGACACTCTCGTCACACACATGATGATGCGATGTTCCGTTCTCCGAGTCTCAGTCTGGGTATCCTGCGTGGGATGATGGATCTTCCCAATCTCTCACCAACTATCATGCCAGGCATTGCGATACTCGGTGCAGGCATCTTTGCCAAAGAAGGTGGGTCACACATCTGTTCGGGCCTTGCCAAAGGTCATTTGGCCATCCAGCCCATCTCCCCGCCCTTCACAAACTCGGGTCCAAGGCCCCTCCCCTCCTGGCAGTCTACTCTCGCTCCGAGAAAACCTCGCGTGAGTGTGCCGAAGCCGCCGCAGAGCTCGGTCTCGGCCCCACACCCGCACCTGTGATCTACCACGACGCCGAGCCGTCCGTCAATCTCGACGCCTTGCTCGCACGGGCCGACATAACCGCCGTGATCATCGTCCTCCCCATCACGCTCCAGCCCGCCATCGTTCTCAAGGCCCTCGCGGCGGGCAAGCACGTCATCAGCGAGAAGCCCGTCGCTCCGGATGTCGCGGGTGGGATCAAGCTCATCAACGAATACGAGCAAAAGTACAAGCGCGATCTCGTCTGGCGCGTTGCCGAGAACTTCGAGGCGGAGCCGGGCTACCGTGCTGCAGGCGAGATGATCGCGACTGGTAAGATCGGTCAGGTGAAGCTCTTCAAGGCCAACGTGAGCAACTACATCGACAAGAACAACAAGTACTACAACACCCCGTGGCGGACGATACCCGATGTGAGTCGTCGCCATGATGGATTCGCTGGGCAGGGATGACGATTTGAGCAGTATCAAGGTGGCTTCCTGGTGAGTCTTCTGCGAACTTTCTCGACCAGAACGCTGAATGAATGCGGCCGCAGTTGGACGGAGGCGTGCATACCATCGCTGCCTGCGCGTGATGCTCCCGGAACCGCTCACCCATCTCTCTTCCATCGCATCTCTCAACCGCGAGCACCTCAAGCCGCACGACACGATCCACGCTCTGGCCCGAGCTGGCTCGCATTTCCACGGCATCGTCGACATGTCCTTCGCTTCCCCGACCGCGTCTACGCCGAAAGCCGACGCTTTCGTGATTACCGGCTCCAAGGGCTGGATGACGGTCAACTTTGAGAAATCCGATGGCAAAAATACCGTGTTGCGCGTCGTTGTCAAGCGCGCGATCGAGGTCGAGGGACAGCCGACAGAAGAAATCGAGGAGGTCTACGAAGTGCCGCAACGCGGGATCGAAGAAGAATTTGGGGCGTTCTTCGACGCGATCGCTGGCAGAGAGAGCCAAGACTTTGGAAGCCCGCTGGGAGCACTGCGAGACGTGGCGTTCATCGAAGCGGCACTAACAAGCGAAGGAAAGGTTGTTGACCTCGGTGCGCTGGTGGCTGGCACACACTGAGGAGCAGGACCTGGAATCGCTCTGGATAAATATCAATGTACGATCGCAGAGACGCTCAAGATATTGGGAGCAAGTTCATGATAAAGCTACATAAATTCATATCGAGGACAACAGCACGTAAAGAATCTCTCCTCGAACCTCTCCTTACTGGATCACACACTTTCCTCCTCCGGGCTGGAAGTTAGGGTCGGTCAGCTTGGCCAGGCGGGTGTTGAATTTGGCATTTCCAGCCTGTCCCTGTGCATGCAATCCATTTTCAGAAGGATCAAGGTGGAGAGGAGAATGAATGGCACCTTGATGATGCGTATTCTGGATCACCTAAACGTCAAGAAGATGCATAAAGAAAAAACAACGCAATGGAAAGAAGGAATCAAACAAAGCTGACCAAGCGGATGGGAGGGAAAGAGAAATGAAGATCTAGCGTGTTCGGTCCTTGCTTTCATCAGCCCGTCATCTAACTGCGCCATCTTCCTCACCCGCATCTGATGCACTCTGATGCACTTCAATCCTCCTTCTGGCGGTATTTCCACATCATCGCTTACCGGGAGTGACTGTCGTCCTCCATTCATGAAACAAGTGCAATGTCTATCGGATTGGCGGCGCCCCATCCCGCCTGGAAGCTCTACGAGGTTAGCCAAACTCCGCGCGAGTCCTGCTTCAGAATGAATAGCTGCCTTGCGCACACGGTGCCTCCCCAATCATCGAGTGAAGCCCTCTTGCGATTCCGGGTTCGAAACACAGAGTAAGATGAGCCTCCCCAATCCCGGCATACCTGAGACTTGGAATTCCGGGAATTCCGTACCGGCACCGAGTCCCGAAAAGCCGCATCAAATTCCAGGAAACGCGCAACGCCCACCGCGAATTACAGTAATAGCTTAGAAATCGTATTCTGTGCTCCAGCAATGTTCCAAGGACATCTGAGGGCCCCCGATACGCATAAATCCCAACTTTGTCACATATTCGTGTCAGAAACAGAGAGGAAGCGGCCGCAGGCACACCGGCGGATGCCAAATAACAGGAGCCATAAAGCTTCATTTATAGTTGAGATATTGTAGTACAAAAAAAGTCCTACAATAGTCGAATCAATAGTTAAAATATAATACATACCTAAAGAGACCCCGTTTAATCACCTATCAGAGCGTAAAATGTAGCTTTAGAAAAACGACATATCAGGACTCTAATTAGATTACTCATTTATGTAGCTTTTTTGCCACAGATCAAGGACACTTATTTGGAGCAGAAAAGGAGCAATATGAGGAAGGACACTTTTGACCGCAATATGACCTAAAAAGATCTCGCTAATGGTGACAATCATATCTGTGATATAAGTGCGGCTTTTTGGGCCGCACTTATATCACAGATATCACGGTCGCAAATATGTATCGCTGGATGATCTGCCGCTCGTCCGCCGCTCATCGGTGGATACAGGTCAATTTCATATATACACTAGTTGATACGATGTTTTTACTGCTATATATATACAATGGTAAGCACATGTAAGTACAAAGGTCCATTCACCCGATGTCAGCAAGGAAGTCGGCATGGACCGCGTCGAGGTTTTTGGATAGGCGCCAGGCTGCACTGTAGCCACGAATCCTGTCTTTCCAACGCGTGTTGTTGAGAAGCACAGCTCGGTTTTGCTCCATCTCGAGGAGGATGTCTTGGAACCACCGCTCGCAGTCTGGCATCCACCAACCAACACTCAAACCAGAAGAAAAGAAGGCTCCAGCTTGTGGCCACCACGACACTCGTTTCTCTTGATGTCCGTTGCGAGCACCAGAATGCAGCTGGTCTAAGTAATGTTAGAATGATGTAACATTCTGTCACGAGGTGAAAAACTTACTCATCTCGATACTATAAACACCGAGGACCAGATCCTCCTCCTCCTTGGTCAGCGCATGATAATAGAAAGATGTGTCATTGAACTTGAGACACTCTTCAGCTATTTCGACGTCTACAAACTCCGTTCTCAGATCCAGCTCTGGGTCATCAATGATCAGGCGTGCAAGACGAGCCACAATACCGCCCGCTTGAAGCGCAAGCCGGCCACGGGGAGAATGAAGAAAGCGTGAGAGCAGTTCCCAGTATTTGCTGAGATCACCCCTGCTCGGGACATAACCTTCCGGACGGACTCCTAGGCTGCCACAGCGAAAGAGTTCTGGTCGGTATGAAGATGGCAAGAAGCTGGAAGCTTCAATGCCGATGATGAACTCAGCTCCGAGGTGGTAGAGATGCCCTATCAGCTCATTCCACGAGCTGCACCGAAGGCGGACGATGTGTAAGACTGTGGTGGCACTAAACAGAAGGATTTGGCGATCGAAAGCTCCCTCTTGAGTACGGGGCTGCAGCAGATAGCCCGTGGAACGATAGGCTTTCTCGCTCATGGGAGCTGTAACAGCCACGATGACACCGCTCTTGGACCAGATTTCGTTCGCGGTATTCTCGTCGCTGAGATCGAAGAGGCCAGAAGGCATGTCTTTGACACACTTCGCCTTGTTCAGCACATGGAGAAGTGCCCGGACTGAATTGCTGATGGGCATTGCCGTGGAAGATCCAGCGTCACCAACAAAGTGTGCGCTGACTTGCAGCCGCGCCATCTCCGTCTCCGGGAAAGTGCCCGGGGTATCGCCTATGAAGCCCACGCGGTATTCGAGAATGGCCCTGGTAGGATTGTGTTCAGCCACAAATACCGGGGTGGTCTTCCATGGCTGTTCTTCGTCTGTGCCGCGGTTGTACATATCAACCTGCCCCAGGATGGCGCTGGCGTTAGACAGCGCTGACTGCACTTCGACAGAAAGCCCTGCAGGAAGTTCGCCCTCAAAGTCATCCGTGGGATCACAGTCCTGGCGGAACTCTGTAGGATGAGCGGCGGCAGGAGGGTTTCCATAGAAGCCAAAGCCGAAGTCGTCGTTGTCGTCGTCGTTGTCGGAATATGAGACAACAGCTGTTGGGTCCAGGGGCAGGCAGAGGTCCCACTCATTGCTAAACGAGTCATATATACGCTGCGACTGTGCAAAATCATCCCATTCATCCTCGACTTCATTGCGCTGCAGGAGTCGGCGAATCCAAAACTTCTCCTTTTCTTCCCAAATGAAAACTCGAGCACCCTTTTTGCCTGGTGCAGCGTGTGACAATGCGCCTCTTTTGCGTTGCAAGCGCGACTGCTGCTGTTGTGGCGTTTCCGCCGCAAGCCGGCGCTCGTTTCGAACAGTCTGACGCGCAAAGAAGTCCTTGTAGTCTTCCCCTGGTTTCTGCCCACTGTGAGGGTCAACAGGCGGGAACTGCCGCTGAGGGGAATCCAGAGTCTCATAGTATTCGGGGTTGGGAATAGTCCCGAATTGCCGCATATTCCATGGAACAAAAACATACTCCTTACTGGCAACTTCAACCAGAGGGAGCTCATTCAACACGCGGATTGTGTCTTGAACGCTTAGATGAATCTTCCGCATGGATGGGAAGGCTTCCACATGCGTGGCTCGATTCACAGCTTCATTCCCCTGGCCGAGGAAGAAATAGAGGGGGAGATGGATAGAAACGGTGTCATTGACAAGGAGAGAGAAGAGCCAGTCAAGCTCATGCGGATTCTCCAGTGTAAAATCCAGGATCATTCCCGCAGGATTACGGAGAAGACGTTCCACGACGGCCTCCAGCGAATCCATCAGTCGGTGCGGCATGTGAAGCGCTTCCATAACGGTGCTGCGCCAACTGGCTCGTTCAACGGATCCGTCAAGGGCCAAAAAAAAGATAGCGATTGCGCCTAGTAGTGGCACAAACGCATCTCGAGAGCGAGCAACAGCATTGGCAAGCTCTTCTTCCGTCGCGAAGGAATCCGAATAGCCAAAAGTTATAGGCCGTGCTTGCATCGTTCCGCAATTCGGAGCAGGGGAAATTTGGCCAACGCGCCATCGAAGGGTGACTGCCACGCGATTCAAGAATCCTTCCAGATTCGCCCACCGCTCCACAACGGTCCACGACATAGCCCAGCCGAGACCAGTCTCCATCTGCTTTTTTACCGTAGGTAATGAACGCAGGGATATGTCCAGAACACCGACGAGGTCCCCGTCGAAAATGGGATATCGCGGGCCACAGGCAAGGAAGACCCGTCGGACGCTCATCCACGAGGTTGCGTGCAGCGCAGGACGGTAGTGATGCCTAGATTTGGGGCGCGGGATCCGAAGCAAAGCGTTTCGATCGGCATTGAAGACGACGAATACACCTAGTTCGTTGCGGACGACGCCGTGGAAATGAGATGCAGCCTTTTCTGGGTCAGTTCAGAGAACACGTTTAGGTTTAAGAACTGACAGTAAGCGTTTTCCTCTCGAAATCGGCCAGATGTGCGAGGGGGACAAGGTAGTGCAGTGCACCACCACCGAGTTCGGCCGTACTGAGTTCGTCTGGGCTGAGTCCCGACGGGTTGAGTGGGACAGAACTTGAAGGGCCGCGCGGCAAACGCGTCGGCCGTCCTCCTCGGGGACCCAGCGGCAAACGCCCGAGTCCCCTTTTCCCTCTCTGCCCGCCTCCGCCTCGCTGTACGCCGTGGTTCATGGGAGTGTAGCGTTGCAGGTGGTGAAGAGTCACACAAGATGAGTCACGTGCTTGATGACTTGATCATCAAATTCACAACGTCATCTTTCTCACTTGCTACTCACCAACCTCCGACGAGCTACTAGGCGTTTGCCGCCAGTAGTTCCGAAGCGCAGCGGTTGAAGCTGATTGATGCTAAACGTATATTCACCTGCTCACTTGCTGCGCCACTCGCATACTCAAAAGATCGATGATGCCCTGCAAGCGTTTGCCCCAAGAGCCTTACATCGTGTCCGATTTTGCCAAGCTGAAGTGTGGCGTAAGAAGCAAGGTGTGGTAGAAGTAGTCGACAAGTTCAGAGATGCTGCGGCTCGCGGAGAATGCGCCGTGGCCACACTGGTACGCATTGACCGTCAGCACTTTTGAGCACCTGCAAAATTCTGCTTACCTCGTGACCGATAACCCAGATATCGGTGAATGCAAGGCCCCGGAGCCACCAGCTGAAGGGCTGAGTTGGCAACGCAGCGGCAGCGCGCGTTCGGGAGGAGAGATACTGACTAGGTCAACCACGCAGCTCCGTTCGACTTGAAGGTCGCACCGATGTGCATCGCAAGGTAGAAGAGAGCGCCAGAAATTAGGAGATCGCGAAGGAGGTATGAGAAGGCTTGCGCTCAAAGTACTTGGCCGAGATGTGGTCGCGGACTGCATACACCTCGAAACACATCGAATTTCCAAGTTTAAACCGCGTTAAACCGCGAAGCCACCGTCTCTGATACCAGAATATAACCTAGGTACATATATGTACTGTCTACATATGAATGAACTACAATTTCCTCCGCTTGCCAGACTGCGATCAGGTGATTAGCACGTGATCGAATGACAACTTCAAGACTTGGACAGATCGGGAAAGAGTGGCGGGATGATACAATAGACGTTTTTTTGCCGAAACTCACAAGGTTTGTCAAGAGGATGATATATAAAATCAAATACAACTTGGACAGACTACACTTTGGTACATACTGTATGGTGGCATTGTAGATATGCAATACAATACACAACGAAAAAAAATTCACGCATCCAATGTTCCGCTCCTTCTTCCGAAGATTTGACCGACGGCTGTGCGCTCCTTTTCTTTGGCCTTCACTCGCCCCTCCTTGATACGTTCGATCCCGCTTTGGATACTTTTAATATGCACATGGACAGGAATCCGCGATTCCGTCAGCTCTGGAGCAGCAACTCGTTCCCTCAGATTCTCAATGTCCTCACTCATCTGCGTCAATGTTTGTAGTGCGGATATAACATGCGCCAGAGCCTGAATGCGATACTGGCCAAGGCCCTTCAAGATCTCAAGATGATGAGCGTAACCCCTCAGTTTTTTGCGATTGCCTCCGAGGATGGTCCATAGTTCACCAAGGAGCTCGGATTTAGCAGCAGACAGAGACACATCTTCTCTCATGACAATCTCGTGCAGGACGGACAACTGCTCCTCGAGACTGTACAAGTTTTGCATGTTGACTTCGAATTCGAGCACGAGACGCTGAAGGATAGAAGAAAGGTAGTTCATGGAATCTTCAAACGTCTCAAGAAGGATCCCGGCGTCGGTTTTCCTCCAGGGAACTAATCGGTCCAGCAGTGACGGTGCGGCAGCTGCTTGAATGCTGTGCAGAGCATAATCATTCACCGCGGTGATACTAAGACTTGAGTTAGACAACACAATAAGGAAGAAGAGGTAGATGTACCCACCCGTCAACTGCTCCAGCCACCTTAGCATTGAGCTTATTCAAGGATCGACCCGCCTTCCGAGCGTCATCCACAAATGATCGGAGCGCATTGCTCAACGACTCGCGACTCTTCAGCTCACTCACCCCAACCAACGTCACCAGGTCTGTCGTTGCAATTTCAGCCTTCTTGATCTGCAGAGCCAGCGCAGATCCTGAGCTTGATTCATCCAGCAGCTGCTCGATTGCCGCAGTCTGCATGTTAACCAACGACGGAAAGTCGGCCCATTTGGGAAGCCCTTGTCCAAGTGACACAGAGACTGGAGGAACACAAAACGAGGAGCTGCTGATTCCTGGGACAAAGCACATAGGACTGATCATAGCCCTGATGGTGTGCGACATCAAGCCGCATAGAAATGCGACTATCCATAGAAAAAGAAGCGTAGACAAAGGGATGCGAAGGAGTAAGATGACGCGTTTGGAGACGTCCAGGAAGTACCAGGAGGCAAATACCCCGCCGTTGATTACATGCTGCTTTGTGACAAAAGGTGAAGGAGACAAGGTCTGAGTGGCGGGAGAATCTCTGCTTGTTTGTCCGGGTGGGGCACCATGTGTGTTTTCACGTCTGCGAATGGGCGCTGTCGGAGTCCCACGTTTTGAATTCATTCCGGCCTGTTTCAGATTCCATCCATAACCAGAGTCGTCCTGGAGACGTGTTTCGATGCGGTGGCCATCGTCGTCACTGGACGGGACATTCGGGAAGAGATTGGAAGAACCGCGCGGCAAACACGTCGGTTCCGTTCCTGTGGGACCCGGCGGCAAATGCCTGAGTCCCTGTTGCTCATCTCTTTGAGCCATGATGGGAGAAAGAACGACTGTAAGATCAAAGATCAGCTTCGTGATCGTGAGAGATCAGCACGTGGCTGATCGGTAAGATGAATTCCTCATCGGCTCGCGCTTTCACCTAAGCCATCTCGAGTTGAGCTGCCAGGCGTGTGCCGCCGACAGCTCTATTGCTCGAGCGATGTCCTTGCACACCTATGAGCCACCACCGACATCAAATATCCTATCATCGCTTTTGCCGATCCCGCCATCTGGCGTCCGCCGCCGATCGACTAAGGAAATTTGAAGAACCGTGCGTGAAACGCGTTGGCTGAGAGGGGATACGGGTTGGTGTCGACGGCAAACGTCTCACACCATGGTGGCTAAGGGCAAGAAGCGACAGTCTGACACTGGCAATCGGTGATCGCCCACACATTGATGATCAATCATTTCTTCTTGACTTGGTCCTGACCACCACCATCGCAGACGTTTGTCGTCGCGATGACTGGAGCAAGTACACCATTCATCTCGGACGTTTGCCGTTGAGATGAATACCGTTTTCGAATCCCAAAAACTTGTATTACTCGCCTGCCCATTGGCCAGACGATCCACCATCGTTACGTTCTCGCTAGTGAAGACTACGTTCATATACACCTACTATGCCATCCTACTAGTCGCTGCAACGAACAAAGCGAATACCTTCTTGGAAATCTTCAACTCCTTCAACTCCAATAAGGAAAGCGAGGCCATCCACTCAGAGTTGTACAAGCATGCCGGGAGCCCCTTAGGCGCATATCTCTTGCCTGGCGTCTCGACTCGTACACGAGGGGCCGGCTTGGTGCCGTTATGGAGAGCCTGGAAGCGACTAGTCTGCTTGTCGATGATGCTCATGTAGTCCACAATGAGTGGTTCGCGCCAGACGCAAAGTTTGACGATGTACTTTCTGACCTTGGCGCCATTGTCGAGCGAATTGAATTCTTCCTCCTCGGACATTCCGCCCACCCCAAGGAGATCCAGTATCTCCAGCAATCTCTCCCATGTTGCAAGATCGTCCGCACCTTCGGACTCCTTCAGTGCGATTGTTGCTGTCACTGTGTTGCGGCGATGGTCGAATTTCTGGTGGAAAGGTTTAGAGAATCGTAAATCGTCGCCTGAACTCGAACACGCAACATGTGCTGACCATTGACGGTTCGGGACGAGACTCGTCGATTGAATAAGACGATCTTGCCACAAGCAACCGCTTCTGCCTCCGTCTCCACACGTCCCTTCTCCTCATCCCACTTGGGCTGAAATTGCTTCCAGTCCGCGCGGTAGCGCACGAGCTGTTCTGCCAGGATGTATCCAAGGTACTCTGGCGATATGAGTTCTTTCTGGATATATCGCATATTGAGCGAGTCCTCCCTAACAACGTCAGCAACGAGTCTCTCCATTACCGCAGCATTCCATGCGGAGGACTTGTAGTCCACGCCGAAGTCAAACTGATATCTCTGGAATGCGGCTTCATCATCCTGAGCGAATTCTTCGACTTCTTCTTCCGTAGCGGGGATATGGAAGATAAAATCTGTCGCTTGTTTGACTCCGAATCTGGCGTAAGTCATTTCGCGCATCAGAGCCTTGAAGTGGTAAGTCTCTTGCGCTCTCCTATGTGATTTCACTCACATGTGCCTTGTTCACTAGCTCCTGTGTCTCTGGCTCAACCACCGCTTTTGCATCGGATTTCCGACTGGCTTTGCGACGCTGGGTGGATTTCCCCGGACTCACGTTGATATGGGCGGTCTCCCCATTCATCAGCTTCATCGCCGTCACAAATTTGGCCAGCAAGTCGGGATCCACATCCAATTTCGCTGCGAAATCCTCCATAACGGGATTGCGGGGCGCGTCCAATGACGGACCCGGGAGTGGAGCTGGATCCATTGCAAGATCCAGCAAATTGGGCCTGCCGGGCGGGAAGAACTCCTTGCTGACGCGACCACCTCGTTTTGCTTGCCCGACTTGGGTCTTGGCACGCCCGTTCTGCTTGATCTGCAGGCGCAGACTCTCCACCTCGTCTTCTCGCTCCTGAACCTCAGCAATAAGCTGGTTAACTTGGTGGTCTCGCGCGCGCTGTATCATGGTCACATTCCAGGCAGTTCACATTCAAGATCTTCTCACCAGAGTCTCTTGCAACCGAAGTGCTTCGGCTGATGCCTCCGCCACCTGGTTCTGTGCAGTAGCAACACGGTTCACCTGTCTCATATACACATCAATAATAACCTTTGCTGCCACAGAACGTACCAAGGAATCGACTTGCTCTTGGCCACGTGCCAATTGAGATTGGAAGTTTCCACCATCGTGCGCCATCTGCGAAATCAATGTCCGTCCCTGCTCAATCAGCCTGTGCAATCGGGCCACTTCCTCTTGACGATCGCGCATCACGTTGAGAGCATTGTCGAGCTGATTGCGAAGGTCCGTGTTCTCAGCAAGAACGGCGCGGCGCTGTTGTCTTGCGTCCGAAGCCACTTGCTTGTGAAATTCTTCGTTTTGGCGGGCCTGTGCACATAAGTCCTTGGTGTTCAAGAAGCTCTGAAGAAACAAACGTACCTTGTCCAATCTCTCTTGGTCTGGGCCAGGTGCGGCTGCCCGCTTGTGTTTGTTGGATCCCTGTTCATCCTGATTCAAGTAGATGCGAATGCGCTGCGCCGAGGTTCATCAGCATTTACAGGCACCGGAAGTCATATCATTGCACACAGGAGCAGGGGTGTAAGGCTCTTGACCCATTGAATCATCCTTGTCGTTCTGCATGGCTATTCCCGTTGCAAATGCGTGAAACAGGAAGGGGGGCGTGGTAAGGTATGTAGCGCCAACGGTAGAGCAGCAATATAAAGGTAGCCAGACTCAAGAACGTTTTGTGTTCATTATGTATTATCTTACATGTGCCGCCCACGGCATGTAACCGAAAACAAGGATTGCTCTAGAGGATTAGGTACAAACGGCTATTGTGCTTACTTAATCTTGGGGTACAAGGTATTACTATTGTACTTATATACTTATCTGGAATAAAAGAACAATGAACCAGTGGAATCCTAAAAGCAACAGACCAACGATCGTTATCAGCTCCGTAGTCTAATCTTCTAGATAGCACGTTGTCCTAGCGATCCGACGATCAGCGATCAGCGATCAGCGATCAGCGATCCACGGATCACTCATCCATTTTCTTTTGCAAACTGTAGGAGACAGCAAGAGACTAAAATGCATGCAGATAGGGGTTGGAGATACATGCAGTACTAGTATGTAACTATCAAGCGCTCACTGTACAAGTTCAATAGAGGAAGAGACTGAAGATCAAGAACTCACTTTCCGTGTCCGCAGGTTTCTTTTGACTGTATCAAGAACAACCTTCTCAGCGACTCGACTTTGCTTGGCGGCCGAGTTTTTGCAAACTCGAATAAGAATCTTTTCAAGTGGCCACAGCCCAACGAACTTGTTGACCGCGGGAAACGCCTGTTGAATCTAGATGGAATTAGTCTCCGACTTGAATCATTTGTAACAAGCGAACCTCAGAAACGATTTGGGCCTTGATACCTGGATCCTGTTCCTTCAAAGACAAGGAGGGATTGAACTTGTGACTGCAGAGAGTCTCGACAGCAGTCTGCAGCGAGGAACTAAGAATCATAGTCATTTAGAGGAGAGACACCGTACCTGGAATGCGGTGATATACTCATTGCTCCAGCCAGTCATAAGTGGGAAATCAGCGTCTGTGACATGAGACGGACCACCAGAAGGGATCATGAGCGAGATCGTCATATTCTCATCGAAATCGTCCATCCCATCCGGCTCCGGTTCGCTCATGACAGCGATACCAAGTCCACTCGGTTTTGAGGACTGCGTTACCACGGGCATCAACACCTGCTTCAGCGACGAATTGCAGGATGGCGATTGAGACGACGGAGGGTGTATCGCTTCTGTGCTAGAATCGATGCTGGATGAGCTGACGAAGGTGACTGCCTTCTTTGGATGGGACTTCAGCGGCCGTTTTCTGATATTCTTTTCACTGAACGCGAGTGGAGGCCCGCTGTTCAAGTCGCTGTGAAGGAGGGGCACAGAGATGGTCGGCGGGTTGATGTCGGTATGAGCGAGCAACAGAACGACAGGCGGAGGAGGGGGTGACGGTTGAGGACAAAAGGCCATTACGAGAAAGAGGCAAGGGACGCTGTCCCAAGTGGCCACGCTGTGGGCAGGAAGCTTGGCGATTTATGTATGTAACTCCACAGAGAACAAAGAACAAAGGCTGGAAAGATTATTCGATTACGTGTACAGATAAAGCTAGTCCATGCACGTTTCATTCTTTGTTTAAAGTTCCTATTGTCTATAGCACCATAAAGCTGCGAGGCGTGTATCGAAACGAGTGTCCTCTACATCTACGAAATGCGCGCGAAGTCAGACTATCGTCTGCAGTGCAAGCTCTCCGGCGAAACTGGCGCCATTCTTGCCCTGGAAGCCCGGGATGATGGCAAATATCTTGCGAGTGGCGGTAAGCTCCAGAAATCGTTGGGTGGTTCGCGAAGGTGACTAGTCACAGGGTTGAATGCGAACGGACCCAAAGTGTGGGACTTGAAGGATATGCGTCAAGTCGAGGTTGTGACGGTGGCTTCTGATCTCCGCGGCGCGACCACAAAACTCCAATGGATCAAGCGTGAGGATGACATCTGCGAGGCCTTGATCTACGGTACACAGAACGGCTTCTTGGTGTGCTGCCGGTTGGACAACCCGGTTTGTTTGCTCATCAATTGACGGTCTGGCTATCGCGATTGACATGATACTAGGGCAATGCAGAACCTCGTTTCCAAGAGATATGGAACCGCCAGATGAACACCCCGTGTGAGGTGACGGGACTTGCATTCGATTCGGCTACAAACCGCTTAGCCGCATCTCATCGTGGAGGCACCCTCCAAGTGTTCACACTGAACTCGGCGATGGCTGAGAACGAGGTGTTCTCCGTCGTAATCCGGCACTGCGTTCCCGCAGCTTTGGCATTTGGGGCGATGAGTGGGAATGAACGAGAACTTCTGGTATTTGGACTCTATTGCGGACTTGTGTAAGTGCATTCACGACCACGAAGAAAAAGAAGACTTACCAATTCTTCCAAGATACACCGTCCGTGGGATGAACGTGTGCTCGTCGGATGCCGCGTGGAACCTTGGATGCCGCATGTACGTGTGGCATTCATGTTCTCTGGTTCAGATGCTGAAGAGGTCCGAAGCTCGAATGTGGATATCGACCAGACAAACGGTATCCTGTGCGTGAGCGATCCGTCCAGCGGCGTCCATCTGTATCGCCTCACCGGACAGGAGCTGGTGAAAAGCTTCCTCATACCCGTCAACAAGACACGGCGAATTCGCCAAGTGGCGTTGCTCGACTCAAACCGCGCCGTTGTCAGCGGGAGCGACCATGGGGTTGTATACGTGTACAACCGCCGGGACAACTTGTTGACGAAACTGCAAGTCGACCCGAACGCGTGGATGCAGACGATTGCAGTGCGTACAAGTAAATTTGAACGGTTTCTACCGTAGTTATCAAGGCCTTCAGACCGCGGATGTCGCAGGGGTCCCTACAATCTTCACGGCCAAATCGGCTGAAGTGAGCGGGAAGAGCGACATCTTCGTGTACCGTAAAACGCTGATAACTCCCAACTTCATGGCAAGACTGGGAAGTTCATTGAAGTGGTTGGGGTGGCTCATGATCATAATGGCAGCAGTAGCATTCGGATACGAGAAGATTGTGGGTACCATCGCTTGGCCGAAGTCTCTTTTAGAGTAGTGGGTAGATAGCGACAAATATGTTCTTTGAGAGACATAAAGTGTGTTCATCTCGACGGCAAACGTCTGGGATGAAGTGTGTCCTCGCTCCATCGCGACGGCAAACGTCTGCGATGGTGGTTAAAGGACAAGACGCAGAGATCATCTGTCATCGGCAATCACCAATCATGTGATCGTGTGAGACTTGATCTCATCACTTCTGCCACCAACTCCAACTCAAGTCCCACCACCGTCTAGCACAGTGTCCGACGTTTGCCGTCGACACAAATTGTGCTCGAAGCCGTTGCTCTGCCAGACGTTTGCCGTTGGCAGAGTGTATTCGTCAGACGTTTGCCGTCGTCGAATGCCAGCTTCATCGCACTACACCTGCGAGCGTTGCCCGCTAGCGAACTTCTGCAATCACAGAGTCCCAAAGCTACAACGAATATCTCACCAATTAGAAATCTCCAAGTCTCAGAATCCCTCCGGAACTCAGACTGGGCGCGTGGTCACATCGAGGATCGAGACTGCCGGTCCTATTGCACCAATCCACGAAGACGACGTGTTGATCCATGTCTCTGACGAAGAAGCCCTATCTGCGGAGGCGACAGCAGATGCTTCTACGCTAGAAATGGAGAGGCTTGCCAGTCTCCTCACTGGTTTGGTCATTCTGGATGAGGGCGAAGAGTCCCATCGTGAAATGCAATCCAAGCTCTTTAGCTCTCGGGACGACTTTCAATCTAGTATATCCGAAGTACCAATAGAATTCATGCCCATCTCCCTTAAACAAGTTCTCGGCGGCGTTGAAGCTGTGCTTCAGGCCCCGACTCTTCCGCTACGGCCGGCGACAATGAAATCCCAAGAGGAAAATATAACTCTCCTACAAGAGATGCTGAAACGCATTCGTGCGGCGCATGCCGAACTAGACCTGCAACGCGCTTTCGATGCAAGTCCCGCCACTGTTGACGTGCTGGTCAACACTGTCCATTCTGCGGGTCTCCTCGTTATTGAGGCTGGCCGTCTTCTCTCAAGTCTCAAGCCCTCGGACAAAACACGCCCACCGAAACGGCCGAGGGTCAGAACCAGAGCAGATGAAAAGATTGCTACTTTGTCCGAGAGTCTACAAGCAGAGGCTACGACCCTCAACTCGCTCATTGATATCATAGGCCCGCTTCTTCCTCCACCGACGCATGTGGTCGAGCACAATTCTGGTATGTGTTTTATCTCGGTGTATCCTACAATTCGCTCACATACATTCTTCCCCAGATCATCATTTTGAAAATCCCATTGCAAAATACGATGTCATTACTCAACTTTCCATCCTTCTCGCCCTCATCTGCCATGTTATCATTGGCATCAGCAGCAACCCCGTAAACCTCATCCTCGCATTCGTCAATGCGATCATACAAGCATCGATGGCACTCTGTGCGCGCGATGGGCGAGCAAAACCTGTACAGGAGTATGTACTCAAACAACTCCCTACATCCTTGGATTCTGCGCTTCGCAGGTTCAAGATTGATCCTACAACCACCATCTACGCGACTTGCCCGTCCTGCCATTACACACACGCGCCACTGGAGGACCGAGTCAACGGAGTGGCCTCGTACCCTGAGATCTGTCAAGGCTACGTATATCCTCGACAAGGAGCGCGCCATGCCTGCAGGACCCAGATTCTTGAACGTCGCCAAGGAAAGCTCAGACCCATCCGGCCGTATGTCTTCACTTCTGTGATCGATTATATCGCTGCTACGCTCTCCGACACCGGGATAGAAAGGATGTGCGAGAAGGCTTGTGATGATGCTCTGGCAGCAGTGCGCGCAGCCCTTTCAAAGAACCCCGAGGCGTCTGTGACAGAAGAACGTGTCAATGCCGTCTTTGAGGCGGTGTTTATGCGCAGCTTCGAAGGCCCCGTTCCCAGCAAACTGTTCATCGAAAGAGAAGGTTGCTTGAGGCTCGCCTTCCAAGTCATGCTTGACTTCTTCAATCCCAACGGGACAAGGAAGCGGGGAAATCACAATTCAATCGGGATCCTTGCCATTGTCAACCTGAACCTGGACGAGAACATCCGTTATCGTCCAGAAAACATGTGGCTCAGTATTATACTCGGTCCCAATGAGCCCAATCATGATCAAATCGACAACTATATCCGCCCACTCATGGACGTGTTTGTTGTCGGTTGGGAGCAAGGATTCCGACTATCTCGCACTGCTCTGCACCCATCTGGCCGCGATTTGAACCTCGCACTCGTTATTGACGTCAACGACTTACCTGCGACGCGAAAGATGCAAGGCATGGCCGCCCCCACTTCAAATCACTATTGCTCAATCTGTGATTGCTATGGTGTTCATACCATGTACAATACAGAATATCATGCTTGGAATCGACGTGATATCACAGTCCTGCGTGCTCAGGCCTTTGCATGGCGAGATGCGCCAAGTCAGGCGGTTAGAGACGCCATCTTCTCTCAGTATGGTGTTCGTTGGTCTGAGTTTTGGCGTTTACCGTACTGGGACCCCACCCGCATGGCTGTCGTAGATTCAATGCATTGCATCTTTGAAGGACTTGTACATTATCACTGCCGTCGAGTGCTGCGAATTGATACCAAGTTGGCCAAGCGCAAGGAGACAATGGGCGCGGCTTTCGAGCATGCTTGGCTGGAGTATGACGCTGCGACATGCCATCCGGCTTGCTTATTGCGGACCGAAGTGAGAGAATTGCCCATGATCCGCGCCATACAACAAAAGCTCGTACAACCCTTGCTTGCCAATGAAGATGAAGTAGACGAGGATGTAGAGCCTGTCGATGACAACATCGAAATGGTCGACGCTTCCGATCCTCGTTTTGTGCCGGCGATCAGCATTGATGAGTTGCGCCAGCAGCTCATGAGGACCAATCTCCAGCCACTTCGCTGGGTCGTGTTCTCGCTTGGGCTCAATACGGACCCAAGTTGTATCATATCGAAGAAGGCCTGCTGTGATCAACTACTCTCTTGGGTGTGTATCTCTCTGTTTGTTCCATGAGCCGGTATTCACGTCTTTTTAGCGCCGCACAAAGCCGCTCACAAGCAATACATTCATCCCCCGGTCGATCAACCTTGCCAATATTCATTTCATCCAACGCGTCATCAAGCAGACTACTACTCCGGCTTGGGTGGATTCAGTGCCTTCGAATTATGGTGATAGTCATGCGGGGACAATCAAGGCAGCTGAATGGCGCATATTGGCAACGATATATCTCCCCATTGCTCTTGTCATCCTCTGGGGCGACCATGATCCCTCAGAGCAATCAACACGCATGCTCCAGATGCTGGATCATACAATGGCGCTGTTCTCGGCGGTCATTTTAGTCAGTCGATACACAATGACCCCTTTGCGGGCTTCCAAATATCGTTCTCTTCTGAAGCAATGGGTAGATGGTCTCCCAACCAATCATCCCCATACTCAGTCTCATGCCATGCGGCCAAACGTCCACATGGCTTTTCACATCTACGACTTTCTCATACTCTTTGGTCCCATTATCTCCTGGTGGACATTCCCTTTCGAACGCGTAATTGGATTCCTCCAGAAGATCAATACCAACGATCATATCGGCGGAGAACTTGAAGCCACTCTGTCCAAATCCTTTATGCGTGGAGCAAGCATTCGGCAATGGTTGCGACGACCCGACTGCCCCCCCGTTTTCATTGAGCTGAAAGTTCTGTTTGATAAAACCTTTCCATCTTACAATCTACCCGCTGATTCGCCACCACTTGCCAAGGCTGGAGAACGCGCACACTACAAACGAAGTGGTACCAACTTCTCTCGAGCCAGCACGCACTTGGGTAACAGTCTTGTCATGTATTACCCTCCCCATTCGCGCGAGATGATTGCCGGAAGTATTGAGAAGATCGTTGAGCACGGAGCAGATGTTGTATTTCACATCAGACGGCAGGCTCCGCTAGCCCAGGGTATGCGGGATCCGTTCTCTCGATACAGACCGTTCTTTCCAGCCCGTACATACTCATCCTCCATGTCCAATGTTGTTGACACTGTACCGATAGATGATGTAGTATCTCACTGTGCCCGATTCCATTTCTCTGATGATCATTGTGTAATTCTAAACATGTCTGTAAGTTAGCTATTCTTGACAAAGTGTTATCTTGGAATGGATGAGCGGCGGACGAGCGGCAGATCATCCAGCGATACATATTTGCGACCGTGATATCTGTGATATAAGTGCGGCCCAAAAAGCCGCACTTATATCACAGATATGATTGTCACCATTAGCGAGATCTTTTTAGGTCATATTGCGGTCAAAAGTGTCCTTCCTCATATTGCTCCTTTTCTGCTCCAAATAAGTGTCCTTGATCTGTGGCAAAAAAGCTACATAAATGAGTAATCTAATTAGAGTCCTGATATGTCGTTTTTCTAAAGCTACATTTTACGCTCTGATAGGTGATTAAACGGGGGCTCTTTAGGTATGCATTATATTTTAACTATTGATTCGACTATTGTAGGACTTTTTTTGTACTACAATATCTCAACTATAAATGAAGCTTTATGGCTCCTGTTATTTGGCATCCGCCGGTGTGAGGTATCGATACACAGAGTCAAGCTAGACTTGGCACCGCAGTTGTGCAATATAGGGGAGGAACGCGCTTGGTTTTGTTGTGCTTCTGATGTGAGGCCTCGTCTCCACTCCGACTGCCGGTCGGTCGAATCTTCGACAACGATCTCTCAAGCAACCCTGCGACCATTATAGACCAATGCTTCAAGCATGGCTCAATCTCAGCTCCCTTTCTTGCGGCTTCGAGGGCAACTACGACTGGGGAGAGCAATGCGACACCGTCCTTACATCTGCGTCGCTATTCTGGTCGCCCTGGTCTTCTTAGTCTCGCACGTCAGACCATCTCTCAATTTCTTTCTCCACACGCTTGGGACGGGGGAGCAGCAGGTCTGGGACGAGCGTGCGCTGCAGGTCAAGGCGGCTTTCTTGCACGCGTATCATGGGTATGAGCTGTTCGCTGAAGGCCACGACGAATTGGCGCCCTTGTCGAGTGGTCACAAAGATCCGTGTGTCTTGTGATATCCAATATTTAGACTGTGTTTTCCTGACTCCTTCCAGCTTCAGTGGATGGGGGGTCACCGCCGTCGACTCGCTCGACACGATGTTGATCATGGACCTCGACGCCGAGTTCTCTCGCGCATCGTCACGAATAGCCAAGCTCACGTTCCCAATGGAGCAGGGAGAATTCACTCCGTACTTTGAGACTGTCATACGGTACCTGGGGGGGTTTCTCAGCGCTTACGCCATGACAAACGATCGCATCTTCCTTGATCTCGCAGACGATCTCGCGATCAGATTAGATCCTGCCTTCGGCAACTGGAGCTCTGTTTTTCCCGTGTTCGGTGTCAACACACGCGAGTGCGTCGATTCTCTAGTGCTCTCAGTCTGAGAAATGTGCTAAACCGTCATAGTGGACATGTAACTGGTTCGGAGATTGGTGGACTGGCTGAGATGGCTACGATGCAGGTGGAATATATGTATCTGGCTAAAGCAACTGGAAAGAAACACTGGTACGATCGCGTCAGTGGAGCCGCCTTATCGCTCGTGGTGGGAGCTGATTCTTGCTAGGCCGCTGGTGTGATAAGCGCTCTGGCTAGTGCCGATTTGCGCAGTACTGGTGGAATGCTGCCTACCAAGTGGAACCTGACCTCGGGTCAACCTTTCGATTGCGAATATATGTCGGCTCCTCCTGTGGCATTGCCGAACGGCGGTTCGTACCGATGTCTGGCTCATCTGGGTGTAGGTGGCCAAGCAGACAGCACACACGAATATCTGCTGAAGCAGTATCTTCTGACTTCAAAGACGGACAAAGAGAGTCTGAGAATGTGTATGTCTCGAGACGACTACAGTGCCAATGATCCACGTCTGACCTCGTTCTCATAGATCTGCGTACTAGCACTCACATCCTCGCAAATCTATTGTACGTCACTCCAGAGCGAAATCTGTTGTACGTCACGGACACGACCTCGACCACGGATGACCATCCCGGTTGCCCGTCACACAAGATGGAGCACCTGGCGTGCTTTCTTCCTGGTCTCCTCGCGCTCGGTGCCCACTCCCTCCCACTTGATAAGCTTGTGAAAGAACTTCCCGAGCTGGGCAAGGACTTCGGCTGGGCGTCGCGGGGATACAATATACTCTCGCAAGAGCCTTCACTGAGAGAGCTCCATCTCTGGGCCGCCAAAGGATTGGCCGAAACCTGCTTCATGATGTACGCCGACGAAGAGTCGGGCCTCTCGCCAGAACAGCTCATATTCCAGGTCAAGGACCGACGTTGGGGCAAACTGCAAAATGGGTCCTGGGTGGACGGGGGCGGTCGCCGATGGATTGATGAAGTGAAAAACTGGCGTCATAGGTTGGGCATGGGATTGGGACGGTTCAAATACCGAAGATTCCCACCTGGAGTCGAGGAGAAGCTCGAGCCTATCGTCTATTCCAAGGATCAGCGTCAGCGAGGATCTGGGAAGGGTCGGGATTACAGCATCAAGCAGACTGCCTACCTACTTCGTCCGGAGGTAAGCTTCCAGCCAGTAACCTTTCAAGTCTTTTTTGAGCCCTTCCAGACGGTAGAGTCGCTGTACATTCTATGGAGAGTCACCGGAGAGCGACGGTGGAGGGAAATGGGCTGGACAATCTTCCAGGCAATCGAGCGTGAAACGCGTACGGCAGCAGGATATGCAGCGATCAAGTCCGCCGAGATGTCTCCAGCGGTTCAGATGGATGACATGCCAAGCTACTTTCTTGCAGAGACGTACGTTCGCATGCTTCTGGTTCGTTCGCTCTTGTCCTGAGCGTCATCCCAGATTGAAGTATTTGTATCTGTTGTTCACCAAAGACGACCTGTTTCCGTTGGACAAATGGGTTTTCAACACTGAAGCCCACCCTCTGCCCATATTCGAGTGGACAGCTGAAGAGAAGCTGAAATTCGGCATCATCTAGCATTAGGGGATCTTAGTCAATGCCAAAAGTATCTAGACAGAGGGATTTCCAGATTTTTTCAAACACAACCATTTCTAGGATCTGTACTATGATGTGTGCTCCTCATCGGTGTTCGATATCGTATCGAACCACGTTTAAGATGTGGCTAAGGTTCTGGAAGATCTGCACGTGATCGCGTCTATGTCTAGAATCGATTGCTGTGCCGCTTATTCACATCATCCCTCTCTCGAGCAGATCCTCCTCCGCGCTCTGTCGTGCCATGGACCGCCGCCCGGACCGCCCATTGGTCATCAAATGCACATTTAATGGGTCTACTAAACGTATCACATTTAACTCGGCAAGGAACTGTTCGTACGATCTCTTGCGACATAGGGTAAGTCGCCTGTCTCTTCGACTGCCTCCATACACACCCGTGCACATCCAAGAATCTAAGGTGCTCTCACATAGGTTGAACAATGCTTCTCATTATACGCTGCGACATACCTCATTACATATAAAGACGACGACGGCGAGATCACCGATGTCACGACCGATACCGACCTCACCGAAGCCATCACGTACTTTCAGGCCGGCGCTGACGACGGGCCTTTATCATCCGCCGCCTCAATACTCTCGGGTAGGAGTTTCGGAGGGAGGAAGATCACGGTCCGGGTGGCGGTCACCGTCGACTACGATGGGCCGAGTTTGTCTGATACGTCGTCGGTGCTGAGCCTAGGGATGGCTTCTGGATCGGGCGCTGGGGAGGGGAACTCTTATCAGCGGAATGGCTATGGTGCGGGAGGCAGAGAGAGTGAATTCTCGTTCGGTGCGCAGTCGGAGTTGGAGCTAGAAGACGATGCGGTCACGGTCAGCTCAAGAGACCCCGTCCCCCGCGCCCAGTATCGAATCAGGGACGTCCGTTCCCAAGGTTCATGGGATGTGCTCTCCCGGGGGAGTGGCGGGTCGAGTCGTCTCCCCGCAAAGTCCTCGAATCATCACCAGTCCGATGACACCGCCCGGGATCCATTCGCCGATAAAAGCAAGCCTGGATCGACGACGGCACAGGATGAGTACATTACGTCCGACCCTTCTGCTGTCTTCGAGCGTCTGAAGCTGCAAGAGCAAGACGACGAGGACGACTCATCGAGCATCCAGTCCGACTTGGTCAACGGCAATGGCCGAGCGGCTGACCATTTTCGCGGGAACGACCGCAACGCAACATGGCTGCGCGACCAGAATGACCGAGCGATCCGGACGATGCTGGGCGTGCTTCCCGAACCGTCCGTGTCGTCTGGTTCGTCTTCCGTGCCGGACAGTTGGCGGGCAGAAAGCGAAGAGGTCCGAGAGCAAGGGGCTCTTTTGGGTGGCGAGCTCGAGCTGGAACGCGATGTGCGAGGAAGATACTACTACTCGTACACATCCTCCTCCTCGTCTGCGTCTCAGAGCCGGGACTCGGGATATTACGACGAAGCTCGTCTGATGGAAGATTCGCACCAGCTCAGACAACAGCCGAGTGTCAATAACTGGCTCGAAGCTCAGGCGGTGCGACAGTCTCCCTCACCGGCGCCATCAATCAGCAAACCACCTCGAGAGGTTCACAACCCAGACTCTCCCAATGACGTTCCGTACACAAAAGAATCGATTCCACCGGAACTGCTTCAATTCTTGCCAGTCACGGCACTCCCTGCAGACAAGCTCACGGATTGCTCATCGTGTGGGGTGCTGCTTGACTCTATCCGTTACGTGTGTACGATTTGTGGGGAGAAGAAGCCCGTCAGCGAGCTGAACAAGGGGAAAGGCAAGAGCCCGCTTCCACAATTGCAGCATCGGCCGCTCACAGATCCCGACCCCCATCTCCACCATCAGCATCCGCCCATCCACCATGCACACACATATCCCCCTCCGATGGACTACTCGTATCCGCCACAACCCAGCAGCGATCCACGCCCGACACCCATTCGCAGCCTGGGCTCGTTGTCATCGACCCGCTCGTCGTCTCTCAACTCGAGCATGGAATCGTTGCGATCGCACAAGCCGCTCCCCAAACTCCCCGATTCGCCGCCACACACCGATGTCCCCAGCGCCTCCAGCTCGCAGGTGACGCTGGTCGCTCCAGAACACGGGTACGAGCTGTGCTCGGGATGCATCGAGCATGCCGGAGTGACACATGCCATTGAGGCTGTGAGCGGATCGGCGATGAGTGGACCGCCATCGGAGTGGCGTCGCCTGGCGCTGAAGAAGGGCCAGCTGAGACACGCGTTCCATGAAAAGGCGTGGGGGCATTTCGGATGGGAAGACGTTGGTGCGTCCTTGTTGATGGCTTTTTGCTTCTCGACAGTATCTCACATTTCTGACAGACCACGACGAGTCGCAAGTCTCCAAATGCTCGACCTGTTCCGCTGTGACCACCCATCATCGATACAAATGTGCATCATGCAAGAACTTCCATCTTTGTCGGGCTTGCTACACGTGAGTCATTTGTGCGCGAGAGGGTGGCTATGCTAATTTTGCTCCATATAGTCAAGTGCACGATGTCCATCCTTCGCATGCGTTCATCGTCATACCAGATGCGCCAATCGTGTCTCCAAGCACAGAGGTAGACGAGTTCGAGAGCGTTCCCCCGGACATAGTACCTCAAGGAGAACAATGTGTGTGTGGCAGTGACGTCGATTGGATAGCACTGACTGGCCGCTAGCGATGCTCCACCGTGGTGTCCGATGTGCACAGTGAGTGGATGTCCGTCCGCTTCTCTTGTGCTTGTTCTGATCCTACATTAGTTGCATGTTGGATATTGTTGGTGCACGCTTCCATTGTGCTATCTGCGACTCGGTGGATATCTGCTCCAATTGCGAGTCAGCCGGGTTGCCCGGTAACTTGGACTCCGCCGACGGGGGGCACAACTCGTCGCATATCTTGATCAAGGTCCTTTACGTTGTCAGTTCTTTGGGGAGAATGCTGATAAAGCCGGCAGATCCCGTATCCGTTGGAAACCGATGAGGTGCAGACGGCGAGTCGGCGGGCGATTGACCTGTGGCAGGGCCGGGATGCAGCAAATGTTGGGCTTATGCCCACAGCGAGTTCTGTGTACTCTTCCCATGCTCGGACTGTGGTGGGATCTGCGGTCTCGCGACAGCCTGTTGCCCAAGACAATGACCATCATATAGCGTGTCATGGCTGTGGAAACGTGAGGATTCGTAGTTTTTGGTGTTGCACATGGAAGCTGATGTGTGTGCAGAACATCCTGGGCGTCCGCTACCAATGCGGCAACTGTCCGTCGATTCCGCAAGGTTACAGCTTGTGCGAGAATTGCGAGCCCAACTCGTATTCGATCCACGACCCCGCGCACATATTCTTCAAGTTTCCGCGGCCCGTTCAAACGCCGCTGGCGTCTCCACAAGGATATCTGCCGAATCTGTGTGTGCTTTGTTTCGCGGTGTCCTTAGTTGTTAATCTATGCACAGCTACAAACGAGGCCCAGGTCCGGCACCAGGGACCGACGCTCGTGCATACTTGATGAATCTCAAGCACACGACGGCTGTTTGTGACAGATGCATGTCCTCGATCCAGGGTGTTTGGTTCCGCTGTGCGTATTGCGGGAAGGATTTGTGCGACGCATGCGAAGCCGTGGACACCCATAATGACGCGCACTGCTTCATGATGTTCAAAAGTCCGGTCGATGTCCCTGCCCTCAAGGCTTTCACGCCTACTGAAAATCCCCTCCCGATCATCCCGTATGCCATCTATCGATAGTTATCTGCACGTGTACGCTGTATAATAGCACACCGTAATCGTATATCTCACTTGCCGTGCAGCTCCTTGTTCTTGACGGGTCTCAAAGGCGAAATAGGGGGAAACGCAATCACTCGTGGGCCAGGACGTGGATCATGATCGGTGGCGGTGCATATGTCAAAGTCTGCTTCCGTCCCTTTGGGCTTCGTTAAAGGCCGCTTGCAGTAGCGACCCGGATCCTGCCTACCGCTGTTACGAATCGGCGGGACTTTCTCGCAGGTATTCCGAGTTGGTCGTTTGACTCTAGGCCCCTGGGTCATACTTACTGCTGAGTGCTGGAATCATGCTGCAGGCTCCATCAACAACTGTTGCCAAGTCTGGTGCCTTTGCGGCTAATCATCTCGCCATTCACACAATGATTCTCAATCTATTCCTGTGTTTCGTGCGGGGCGTTGCGTGTTTCATCAGGTCTAATGCAGCTCGTCGGCGCTGGTGCGGACTCGAGTCGGAAGTCCCAAGTCCCGGGCATGCTGGGGATCCGGGAGGTCCATCGTACTCAAGGTCGCGATACGGCTTGCAAGATTGCAAACCCCAGTAGAGGGTCCGTCAGGCACCTTACACGGCAGCTGCTTGTTACAGACGGGCTTCTCGCACAGTCTTGCTGGCCCTCTGGGTGCGTTCAGACAGAAGGGGCGTCGCCAGTCCGATACTCATCGCACCTGTTTCACGAATTCCCGATGGCGGTGAGCGATGATCTGGTTTCTGGATACCGCATTGACAAATTATCGCCAAGAAAAGCATCAGAGAGCATCAGATGTGGGTGACGTATATTGCGAGGCCTGATGCATAAAAGCAAGAGACCATACGCGGTAGATCTTCATTCTTCTTCCTTTCCCTTCCGCTTGGTCGGCCTTTTCTCCATTCTTTTCTCTCTTACACCCTTTTACTTTATACATCTTCTTCACGTTCGGTTGATCCAGACACGTCATGAAAGTCCCATTCACTCTCCTCCTCACCTTTATCCTCTCGCTCCAAGCGATCGCCGCTCCGGTCCCCGTTGATGAGAATGTGCGTGTCTTGTGCTCGTTTCCGGGGAAATTCACGTTGATGGCTCCGATCGCAGGGGTTGGAGACGCTCGAAAACATCGATGCTCGCAAGGTCAAGGCTGCAAAGCCCATCGCCAAACCCAAGGCCAAACCGGTGGCGAGACCTGTAGCCAAACCCGTTGCTAAACCAGTAGCAAAGCCTGTCGCGAAACCAGTCGCGAAACCGGTTGCTAAACCTGTGGCGAAGCCTGTAGCTAAACCCGCTGCAAAGCCAGTCGCGAAGCCGGTGGCCAAACCAGTTGCGAAGCCCGCCGCAAAACCGGTGGCCAAACCCGCCGCGAAGCCTGCTGCAAAGCCAGTGGCCAAACCTGCTGCAAAGCCAGTCGCGAAGCCGGCCAAGAACAGACTCCCTCCTGCGACGAAGCCCGCCGCAAAGCCTGTCGCAAAGCCTGTCACGAAACCGGCTGCAAAGCCTGTCGCAAAGCCTGCCGCGAAGCCCGTGGCGAAGAAACCCGCCGCCCCGGCCAAGGCTCCCGCGAAGAAGCCCGCCGCCGCTCCCGCCAAGAAGCCTACTACCGCTAAACCTCCTGCGAAAGCACCCGCCAAGAAGCCCACGACGTCCTCCAAAGCACCTGCGACAAAGCCGTCCTCGGCTGCGAAGAAGCCTCTGTGCTCTGCTGCTCAGGTCGAGGCGCGTGAATTCATCGATGTCGAGGAACGTGAGATGGAAGAGCTCGTTGCCCGTGTCGGGCTCCGACACCCGTCCGGCCAGAGCACGGTCAACTTGTTCCACGGCGCTAGCGCTTCAAACGCCGCGAGCTTGGCTGCAGGGCACGTCGATCTCTCGGTCACTCGCGGCACCGGAGACTTCAACCATCGCCCTGGTGCGTTTCTCGTTTCCATGTTTTCTCGCGCGCGCCTTCCATGCTAAATGAGCTTATTGCAGAGGTCGCTGGTGGCTTCTACATGACTGACAGTCTCGTCGCTGCCGCGCAGTTTGCTTGTTTCGGTATTCCCGGCCAGCGTCCCGCCCAGGTCGACGTTCTAGGTATGTGACAAATAGCCTGGTTTTTCAGGACCTGTCGTGCTCACGGACGCCAGAGTACAAATGGACCGGGGGCAGTGCTCAAGTCTTCAACTTCCCCGGCGAGACAGCGGATTGGTTGGCCTTCCAACAGTACAATGCAAACCCGAATGCTGTCGAGAACACGGCCAGCCCCTTCCACGCCAAAGCCCTCCAGATCTACCAGAACGACATGATTGTCGGCCCGCTCAACGGCCCTGTCGGTAAGTTGCCTCGCTATCTTGTTTCAAAGCACATGATCCTGACCAGAACATTGTCAGACGTCCTCTTGACAAACAGCTTCCAGCAATATGCGGTCGTGAAACAACCCGCGGCCGACGCCCATCTCCAGCTTGTCTCGCGTCACAGAAACATCATCTGCAGGAACGTTCCCACTGGACAAGAGCTGACAAATGGGTTGTACGCCCAGGGACAGGCTGGAAATGCCAAATTCAACACCCGCCTGGCCAAGCTGACCGACCCCAACTTCCAGCCCGGAGGAGGAAAGTGTGTGATCCAGTAAGGAGAGGTTCGAGAAGAGATTCTTTACGTGCTGTTGTCGTCGATGTGAATTTATGTAGCTTTATCATGAACTTGCTTCCAATATCTTGAGCATGTGCTCGATCGTACATTGATATTTATCCAGAGCGATTCCAGGTCCTGCTCCTCAGTCTGTGCCAACCACCAGCGCACCGAGATCGACGACCTTTCCTTCGCTCGTCAGTGCCGCTTCGATGAATGCCACGTCTCGCAGTGCTCCCAGCGGGCTTCCAAAGTCTTGGCTTTCTCTGCCAGCGATCGCGTCGAAGAACGCCCCAAATTCTTCTTCGATCCCGCGTTGCGGCACTTCGTAGACCTCCTCGGCTTCTTCTGTCGGCTGTCCCTCGACCTCGATCGCGCGCTTGACAACGACGCGCAACACGGTATTTTTGCCATCGGGTTTCTCAAAATTGACCGTCATCCAGCCCTTGGAGCCGGTGATCACGAAAGCGTCGGCTTTCGGCGTAGACGCGGTCGGGGAAGCGAAGGACATGTCGACGATGCCGTGGAAATGCGAGCCAGCTCTGGCCAGAGCGTGGATCGTGTCGTGCGGCTTGAGGTGCTCGCGATTGAGAGATGCGATAGAGGAGAGATGGGTGAGCGGTTCCGGGAGCATCACGCGCAGTGCAGCGATGGTATGCACGCCTCCGTCCAACTGCGGTCGCATTCAGCGTTTTTGTCGAGAGGATCCACAACAGACTCACCAAGAAGCCACCTTGATACTGCTCAAATCGTCATCCCTGCGCAGCGAATCCATCAAGGCGACGACTCACATCGGGTATCGTCCGCCACGGGGTGTTGTAGTACTTGTTGTTCTTGTCGATGTAGTTGCTCACGTTGGCCTTGAAGAGCTTCACCTGACCGATGCTGCCAGTCGCGATCATCTCGCCCGCAGCACGGTAGCCCGGCTCCGCCTCGAAGTTCTCGGCAACGCGCCAGACGAGATCGCGCTTGTACTTTTGCTCGTATTCATTGATGAGCTTGATCCCACCCGCGACATCCGGAGCGACGGGCTTCTCGCTGATGACGTGCTTGCCCGCCGCGAGGGCCTTGAGAACGATGGCGGGCTGGAGCGTGATGGGGAGGACGATGATCACGGCGGTGATGTCGGCCCGTGCGAGCAAGGCGTCGAGATTGACGGACGGCTCGGCGTCGTGGTAGATCGCAGGTGTAGGTGCGGGGCCGAGACCGAGCTCTGCGGCGGCTTCGGCACACTCACGCGAGGTTTTCTCGGAGCGAGAGTAGACTGCCAGGAGGGGAGGGGCCTTGGACCCGAGTTTGTGAAGGGCGGGGAGATGGGCTGGATGGCCGAATGACCTTTGGAAAGGCCCGAACAGATGTGTGACCCACCTTCTTTGGCAAATATGCCTGCACCGAGTATCGCAATGCCTGGCATGATAGTTGGTGAGAGATTGGGAAGATCCATCATCCCACGCAGGATACCCAGACTGAGACTCGGAGAACGGAACATCGCATCATCATGTGTGTGACGAGAGTGTCCTAAATTCAACATTGGGGTCCCTCGAGGCCGTACAGAGCTGAATCTTCAGCATGATGTGCGTCTTTTGTCCCGGCTGGAGAAATCCGTAGCGATTTGTCGGTCTCGATTTGCATTGGGCCGGATGGGGTTTGAAAGATTGTGGGAATTAGATCTGACCCTAACCACAGCCCAACATCACAGATATGTAAACGACCAACATACTCTCGGTCCCTCGCGAATGCTCTTTGATGCCCATGGCACACCCGGGGCCACTGCCCGAGCTCGACGTGTTTGAAGGCCTGGAGGATCTCGATGACGCCGCGTGGGCCCTGGGAATTGTGGTTGCGGCGCTCGTTGAGAGCGGGACACCCTTGGATCCGCTCTATACCAACACGATACCCTGCCGGCGTGTTCTGACGCGACACGACGACTTGCATCTGCTCCTCAAGCAGGGGTATGCTTCAAGAGACTTTTCTGAGGTTGGCAAGCACGGTACGTTGGCTAATGTTGTTGAGCACTTGCGCTGCATACTAAATTCATGCGCTCTAGATGCCCTGCAACGCCAAAAGGATTCGGCTGAGCTGGCTCGCGTACTGGACTCCTATTCATCGGAATTGGACTCTTTCTCCCGCCAGGCCCCTCCTTTTCGCTTGCTTGATTGGTCGTCAGACACTGCAGATGCAGACGATCAAGCACACATAGCATCTCTGAAAATTCCCGCTGTTGCACGCAGTCCTCGAACTCCTTTGCTTCTCCTGCGGAACCTTGGCAGTTTTTTCAAGGACTCTGCTCTCAGGGAGAGACTGGGACGTATCTTTGCTCAAGGAAAGCATACGTGAGCAAAAATCTCTTTCTCTCAAGTATGATAATCGAGTTCGGATGCAGCTTCTTGGTCAATGCGTCTGGAACGGGAAAGACGAGACTTTTAATCGAAGGACTATGTCAACACTGGGGGATCTATATTGTCGCTGAGACGGATGTGGACGGTTACGGCGCCGGGGACCTCAATGATATACTCACGACGAATCTGCGTTGCACATACGATTTCGATCTTCCAACAACGTCGCAGGGATTTCGTGTCGCAGCGGTTCAATCGTGCATGGGTGGTCTACTACTGTGTCGTCTCCTTGTCCTTGACGTGTTCCTGGATCTGCGACTGAGAGGTGAAGCCGACGTGGAGGATCATAAAATTCTTTGGACATTGTTACAAGTGCTTCCGAAAGCACTGGGGAGCAGACAGAATATATTCGGGAAACTTCTCGTGTCGGCAAACGCTCTGCACGATGACTTCATCGCCGACTATCTCTCCTTCCTCCATTCGAAGTTTTGCGAGCGACTCCGAGATGATTTCCATCCCTTCATCATCCTCGATGAGGCTCAAGTCGTATTCAATCATTTTCATGACCGAGACCTTCTGCGGGATGCAGATGGTTCTCCTTATCCGCTCCTCCGGGAGCTTGTGGACGGTCTCGTTGCGTCGTATCCCGTCGATGAATGTTCTCTCATTGTCGCAGGGACTGATATTCCCTCCGATGGCTTTTCTCGCTCTCCCCACTCTCATCTCCATCGCTGGATATCGGACACGGGAGCCTTCGACGATGAAGCGAGGCACAAGGCTTACGTTACTCAGTGGCTACCTTCCCGCTACACTCGCTCGGAGGCTGGTCAACATTTCCTGACGCATTGCTGGCAGCTCTGTCGCGGAAGGCTAGTCCATTTCCGCTTGGTGTTAATATCGTTCTGAATGTGGCTTAGACATCGAATCACCGACAGCCTGATGTATTCTTTGCTCAGGAACGGTTTCAAGAGCCCACATCGGATTCTCAGCGCCCATTTTTACGTGATCTCCGGATTCTATCCCCCGGACGATAATCCGTTCATCCGAGCGGAGGTTCCAATCAATGCTGACATCATCTATCCGAGAATCAATTTCTCTGTCCTGAAACATCGTATGGCTAATCTCCAAGTTCCATGAAGGTGGCACTGATCACTAATAGCTGCTTATTCTCTGCGCTCTGCTGCTATTCGTTTGGTGCTCCTTCGATACGCAACCACTGGAAGCCATGGCCGTCCGTTTGGCCTTGAGCATATCAACCTCGTCACAGATGCTTTTGGTCGATTCTGTGACGAGAATCGCTCGCAGATTGTGTTCGACGAACCGCTTCTCGTTCTCGCAGCCGCAGCGCAGTGGTTCTGTCCCGTGCGAACGCCGCAATCTGGACCCTCCGATCCCGATTCTCCTCGGCCAACGTCACTGCTTGATGTGGTAGAGCTCGTCTCGCCCATGGACCCGGACACATTTGCGTGTGTGCTCGTGATCTATCTTGCGCACGCCTTCAAACGAGCCGCACCAAAAACGATCTTCTCGTTTCCGCGTGGTGCCCCTGAATGGGCGAAGCGTCCGTCGGAGCTGGTCAGCGTGTACCGCGGGAAATCATACCGGCTGGCTGACAAAGTATCGACCTCTCGCCTTGCCGCTTCCCCATCCACTTCCAACGAGCTGGTCAGCTGGCTGTCCCACAATGAGCGACATGGGTCTCCATTCTGTCTCCCAGATCTGCCGCACGCCGATCTGTTCTTCGTGTTTCGCACTCCGGATGGGACGTTTGTCCAAGCTGTAGTCGCGGCATTGGGGACGACGACAACACTCAGGGACTCGAGATTGATGCAGATGATCTCTCGAGCAGATGATGATGCCCTGTTTTTGTCTCTTGTACGTTTGGCTTCTCTTGCCGACATGACCGCTGACACTTTCATGAAGCCTGGAAGCATGAGGGAGAGAGCCATCAGTGGTTTGCACTCTCTCCCTGTCCCACCACCGACCGTGGTTCGACGGAAAGGCAAACGTCCACCACGGTTGACAGCAGCGCCTGTGATGCGGGTGATGGCGTCCTTTCCGGGCCAAGCTCATATCAAGAATGCCACCAAGTCGAAGGCCATAGTCGGGCTGAACACCGGCCAGTTTTACAAAATATCGGTGCAGATCTCGATGACCGACGCGTTCGAGCAACTGTACCAATCAGTCACGTTCTCAGCACAGTCTTCCGGGGATAACCAGGCACCCATCAAAATTGTACCGCAACCTTCCCGTTTCAGCTCGCGAGCGCAGACTAGGTAGTTTTGTGCGTCAGGCATCGTTATCCGAGTGTTCCCGCGCTTTTTGTTAGTATAAGTAGGTATCTCGTCATTTGCACCGAAGCCGTGCGAACGATCTGTCATGGCAGTCTTTTGTGGGTGCCAGCTTATAGGCAGCCGCGTGTTTGTTCCTTCCTTCCTTTCTTCTCTTCCTCCCAGCTTCCCCATGGCCGGCACAAGCGCTCATCTTTCGTTTCAGACGAAGACAACGCCTGAGCTGAATGCTCGCATCCATGGAACTCTCAAGCCGAGTCTATCGGTCTTCGAAGTTGGCCCGCACCTCTCCGTATCGGAAAGCATCAGCAGAGTCTTCTACTTTATCGCGCTACTCATCGGCAGAGATAAATTCGAACTGTATCCCAGCTGGGACCTCAAGCGCTCTGCTCTGCAGACCAATGCGGCGCTTCGAGCCAAAGAGGATGCGATTTTCCTCGACAAGATCCTCGGAGAGACCCGGAAATCTGAATCATCGGAGGCAGATTTTCAGTTCTTGTTGGATGAAGGTATGAAGCGCACGCTTCATGCCGATGCTGACTGACTGACCTCTTCCCAGTGATGACTTTTGTGATCCCGATCTCCCCGCAACAAGCTGTTACAGTGCTACAGGCTGCAGAAGAGGAAGTAAAGAAAATCTTGCGTGAATTCCTTGCCCGGGATGACCCTCTTCCTCTCTGGGAGCCCAATCACATCCTTCCACACACCAAGTTTCTCCGAAAGTTGAAGATTCCACGAACACCCGGCGGCGAGAATGTGCCTGACATGTTGCTTCACGACCTCGGGAAGGGGAAGGACTCCAGCCTGGATCGTGCGATTCGCAAGATCTTTCCGGAAGCTCCACCGCCTGTCGTGTGTGTCTGAATTGATTCTCCTTGATGGAAGTTTGTTCATCCAGCCCGTCCTTACAGATCACTTGTAAATGCGCCGGGGGCAGGGAAGACCAAGACTGTGATTGAGGGACTGTACGGGCACTGGGGGTTCTACCTAACCTGTGCAGTCGATTCGGAAAGACGGGGGTCCCGCGATCTTTCGATCGCATTCAACAAGCACATCAAACTGGATCCGGCGTTCGTCGAAAATCTGGAAGAAGCGGCAAAGAAGGACGAAAATGTGACTCTCAGTAGCCTCCATCGGGTCAACTGTAAAATTGCTCGGAGCCGGATATCTGAGGTCCTCTTGGCCCGGATATGTATCTTGACATGGTTTTTGGATGTGTTGAAGGAGCTCAACCCGACCGGGCCACTGGATAGTGCCAAAAATAGGCGGCTGTGGACTATTCTACAACTGCACCCACCTCGTGGACCCAACGGCGGTGACATGTTCCAGTCCACGGTCGGAAGAATCCTCGGCCTGGACACACAGTACAGTTTGGCATTGACACGAGACAAGCTGGAGACCTTGCGCTCCTCCCTCGGACTTGGTCTGTATGATCGCCTATTCTGTGTTGTCGATGAATCACAAACTGCTGTTGCGACCCTGGAGCACGCTTTCATGTCTCATGAGGCAAGTGCCGGTATCAAACCCACGCCCAGACCGGTGTTCCGGGAGCTTTGTGCAGTCCTGTTGGCCCCCGAACATGAGCTTGCAGTGATTTTCACGGGCACTGCGCTCGCTCGAGTTCTTCTAGACGCAATAATCGCCTCCAAGTTCCTCAAACTAGAAAATGACTACCGGCCCATCACTCATTTCGGCGCCTTCAGCAAACCCGAAGACCATATCGATTATGTCAAAAAGTACATTCCAACGGATCTGCTCTCCACAACAAGCTTCAAAGCCCTCCTTGGCCGAATCGTTTACTGGTTACGAGGACGGTAAGCATCCGGGTCGCTTAATGTGAAACGTGGATCGGCTAAATCTTTATGCAGATACCGATTTACCTCAGCGTTCATTCGAGAGCTTCTCATTAGCGGATTTCAATTCCCCCATTTGAGGCTGAACGCATTCATCAAAGTTGTGACCAAGTCTCCTCTACTCAAGACCCTCGGCCGTTTCACCTCGGATGGGTTCGATGCTACGGATGCGAGCATCCACTTGGAGTCTGAGCTGGAGGCGAATCGCGGCGATCCACTGGTGATTACCATTGGTGAACAGCGGCTGTTCGACTTTGAAAAGATCAAAGACAGTGCGTGTCTGGCCTCTGAGACAGTCTGTAGAGGTGGCCAGAGACTGAACCGGTTTCTGCAGATGTCAGATTCGTCGAACTCGTGCGCACGTATGTTCCGGAGATGTGCATGCGGTCGAAGATAACATCCACGGCGATGCCTCTGAAGTACCAAGACGGGAACGGGAGAGTGCTGGAGGATTTTGGCCAACTGGTACAATACGGCGTCGCCCGTTACGACGAAAACGACATGGGTGTCGAAGGGGACGTGCGGCTGCTCATGGACGAGCCCCTTGCGATCAGAGCGTTGCTGGAATGGCTCCAGAGCTGCGATGCTCCTCTGGCAGCCATTTTGCGGAAGGCGGCGGTCGGGGGACTGCAGAACCACGCGGGCAACAACGGCGTCGAAGAATATATTGCGTTCTATTGCGCGGTGGCATTCAAATCGGGCGCGAAGCTCAAGGAGATATTCCACTTCCACAAGGGGCTGAAGATCCCCGAATGGGCAGAAACATCGGCCGACCTGGTCTCCGTCTACTGCACTAATCAAGATTCGAGACCAAACGACCCCGTCAAAGCCCGGTCTTGGACCGCAGAATACGATGTTTCGCCCGTGACCGACCAGTCGGGACCAAGTAACTCACTCGGATACTGTGCATCTACGATATCGGACACGCGCCGATGGATGCAGCATTTGGAGCGGGCGTCGATCTGCTTTCCAGACAAGTTCATGGGTCCAGACCTCGTGATGGTCCTGCGGCTGCACAACGCGCAACGATCGCTCATTTGGCTTGCTATCCAGTCCAAATTCTCCGCCGCTGAGGAGCTCGAGCCGAGCAAACTGAAGGAGGCCCTCCCCACTGTCACCCCGGACGGTTACTACGAGCGACGGGTGAGCTGACCGGATCGTACCCCGCAGATCGCGAAAGCTGACTAGCCTGTTCAGAAAAAGAATGCAGTGTCCGACGAAGAGCCGCAACCACTGGCAGCACACCAGGTCCAGATTCTGAAGGACATGGACAGTCTTCCGAATCGGCTCGAGATTCCTGGTTTCGACCAGCGCAGAAACAAAGCGTTCATGAGACGCATGGTCGACCACTATTCTGGGCCCGACTTCTCTCAACCTTTCGACGTGACGGCGGATGAGCTGGCTGTTCTCGATGGATGCGGGAAACACAGCGTGCTGCGGGTGATTGTGGGCTGGCCGTCGTTGACGAATCTGCACAACCGGTATTCGACGCTCCTCCAGCATCGGTACTTTGACGATGACTGTCACCCGATCGTCGAGTTCAACCGCGACCGGTGGAACACGGTCATGGAAGATTACCTGCTCCCTGAATTCGATAATCGCAGGCATAACAGGTCGCGGGGAACCAAACAAGACCGACCGGATGCAGGACACGAGGCTGACGAACCGGGCCCTTCGATGAAACGACGGAAAACCGCCCACGATCTCGACGCAGACGAGTTCGAACTGGATGCCGCATTCGAGCCCAATGCCAACGTGGAGACACAGTTTGCCTCGCAGTTCTTGCATCCCTTCCGGATCGGGGAGGACGCCGGGGAGACTGCGGCGTGGGACGAATTGGAACATGGAGGGAATCCCACTGGGTCGGTCGCAGACGGCCCGCCTCTGACGGCCACTGATCTCGATGCAACTACGCTTGGAGGGCAGTCGGTCTATGATGACGGCGGCCACCCACGGATCACTGAACGCAGGCGGGACGGAACCGTGCGACTCGGCGGCGGAGAGGTGCACCTGAGGGTGCTGGGCCATGAGATAGATCCGCACAAATTCTGGGACACGCACAGATTGGGAGGGATGTCCGGGGATCTGCCCCCTCTGAAAGATTCCATCCCGCAGCTGAAATTGATGAAGAAACGGGAGCGCAGGATATGGCCGGAGCGTGAGGATTGGGAGATCGAGACGGAGTTTACGCAGGAAGAAAAGGGGCTCCCGCTGCAAGACAGAAAGAAGATAATCTTCGAGAGGCTGAAGCGTGCAGCGGAGAGATACGAGGCGTACGTGCGACGGAATCGGCGAGGCAACCCGACCTGAGAGACGTGGGATGTGGAGGACAGGGCGTTAGATAGCTTCGTGACGATCATGTAGCCGATTGCGTTTCTCTGATCTCAGAGTAGAGACATGGACCATCCTAGATGAAACTTGGACTGTCCAGCATTGAAGGAGACCTTAAGATTCCAGAGCAACATTCTAGGGTCATTGATCGTAATTGATATGTTAGAACCGTCATTTCGTTCGTGCGCACCGGCTTTGGGACGGCGGGCCAGCCAAGCAGTGATGACACATGCGAGGAGATCTTCAGGAATAACGTACTTGTGTCGAGCTGTGACACCAGTCAAATGCGGACGAGCTTGATGTCTCCAGCCAACGCATCATGTCCCCTCAGACTGCCCCCTCAGACTGCTTCCTCCGCTCCCCTCGCTTACAACCTCGGCCATTGATGATCTCATCAGGAAGCTGAAAGCGGCCGTGGGTGAATACCTGCAGCTGGATATTGATCGATGGGATAATCCGAAACTCTACCTCCTGAGGGGACGCCTAGAGCCGGATACCAAAGGACGACTGGTGCAGAAACCTATGCACTTCCGTCATTACCTGTCTGTTACCAATCCAGACCACCGGAAAACCCTCACCCGGCTACTCCTCTCCAGCCATTCACTAGCGATCGAGAGACTCAGATGGACAGATGCCCGCCGGCCTCGGATTGATCCGAGCGAGCGAAAGTGCAGACTATGCCGCAACGCCCCGGAAACGCCGGAACATGTCTTGCTCATATGCGATGGAGACGTCAGTCTCATCCAACTGCGCAACACCCTTATGACCAAGTTCAAACTCGACGTTCCCGCTATGCCGCCACTCGAGTCAATGCCAGAAATAGAATTTCTCAGGCGTATGTTGTTCCACCGGGAAACGATCGGACTCGTGGCAAAGTTCGCGTACGAAGTCATGGCAATCTTTGAGTCTAAGCCGATGCACCAACCAGCATCACCCTTACACTGGCTCATTCAGGCACCCTGATCCCTGTATAGACGTGGAAACACTGCCCCCCCAGGCAAACCCTTGATAGACGTTCGGAGTTATGAGCTGAATAGCTCGTCGGGTTTGTTGAAAGGGGTCCAAAACGAAGGCGCATAAACAGCTCGTACATAGCGCTAGGATAATTTTGGGAACACGGCGTTCAGCGCTTGGACCATGCCGTGTATAATATTATCACTTATCACTTATCACTTATCACCCCGTAAGCGTGTGTGATCGTCGTTCGAAAGATCTTCAATCAGTCTGCCGATCCAAGAGGCGCCCTGCTCGGTATACAACTGACCCAGTCTCGTCGTCGAGCAGTGGGTTATCATCAAGGGAGATGCGCGCGCGCAGTCCATAAACAGTATCCAGTGTCTTGATTCAATTCCTCTTGATATTACTCATTGTTCATGGATACAAACAGCTCAAGACAAATGGAAGCTCCCACCACCTTCCGACATCGCAACACGCAACTTCTCTCGCATCACATCCCTCGTGCTATACTCTGGCAGCTTCAGGTAGTTGACACAGGTCATCACACTCGGAAGGTAGTCGTCTGCCGTCAACGGTGCCTCGTGAGGTTTCCGAACGACAGTGAGCGCCGGATTCAAGCCTCGGAAGCCTGTAGACATAGGAACAAATGAGAGATGCTTCAGTCGAAATAGCAAGCAAACGCACCTCCGATGGGCAACTTCGGACTCCCGGAAACAAACTGCAGGAAACTCCTCCTCGTCTTGACATCATACTCAGACATGATGTCCAGCAGATCCCGGATCGCTCGACTTTCTCCGTTGAAGCCGTGGTCAGCTTTCACCGCTTCGCTCAGCACTGCAGGGATAGTTAGTGCCAATGCGCTGGTGTTCAGAGAGGAGAACGCACTTTCTGGCGACCAATCTTCGTCCGAGTTACCAAACAGCAGCACCAGCTCGTCCGCAGAAAACGCCTGCAGATCGGTGATCGGGAATACTTTCGAGAATCCCTCACGGAATGCTTTGGCTTGCAGCTGTACTCCTTGGCCGATAATCGCTTCCAAAACCTCGTAGATATATTCATCGACGTTGTCCTTGGTAACCGCGGTATCACAGCCTCCGGGCTGGATGATATCAGTAATCGAAGGGAAAAGAGAGAAGCAAGACGCACGCGAAGTTCGATATCGTATCCAGGGATGGTGAAGTCGAGCGCCAAGTCGTCGATGCTCACGGTCTCGATCAAGGCCACTTTTCGCTTCAGCTTGTCGTCTTCCGGCACTGGCCCAGCCGCAACGATGTTCTGGATCTTTTCGAGAGAGTTTGCCAACGAGATGTCGACCAACTAAGTTGATGAAATGGTCAAGAGAAGTGCCAGATCACAGTTTGCATCACATATACCTTGAGCGTCGCAATCGTCAAAGGGACCTCTTCACCCAGGACGATCTTGAGGAAGATCTTGTTGAGCGAAAGATCGATGATGCGTGAGTCGAGCATTGCTTTTGCCACAAACTGGCCGATAATCCGATATATGTGTGTGCGTTTCCTGTTGATCATTGAGACAGGTGGGATGGAGACAGTAAAGATAACTTACTGTACACCATCGTTGCTGAGATCTTGAGTGTTCAATGGCGCAGGATACAATCCTGATGGATGACTGACATAGGCTCCGATTCCTGAAGCGTCAGCATCTCTCCAAAGCTTGAGATCCTTGCGTGCGAATTCCCGCGACACAAGCGAGTAGAATTCAAGGGTGGGACCCAGCCCTGTTCCGACCTCTTCAAAATATTCGACCTCCAGCACAGACGACGAAGATCCATACAGCTCGAACACCTTCACTGCAGACTCAAGGATGTGTTTCCGAGAGATGCGGACTTTTTGCCGCTGCAGTCTTCCGAGGAACCCGATCCCGTCATCGCGACGCGAGGAATCCTGCGTGCGAGTTTGCTGGCTCTGCCATTTCTGGATCAAACGCGCGTAGCCAAAGGAGGTCGACTGCAAGAAGTTATATCTTGTCGTGAAGGGGAAAAGGAACGGGAAGTGTTGCGGCAAATCCAGTGCCCAATCAGGCAGACACGAACTACGAGCGGATTGTCAAGTTAATATACGAGCAGCGGGACCGGCACAACGTACCTGGCAACAATCATCGGCTCCTCTAGCTGCCTCGTCAGCTTCGCAGTCAACTTGTTGTTCACAAAGGCGGACTCGGGAAGGTCCCTCCTCTCTCCAGCAAATGCTGATCTTTCGGTCTCCAACATGTTGATCTGATGCAGCACCCGCAACAGACGCAGGATCTTGGCATGGGGTGCATCCTCAGGCAAAGATGACAGTGTCGGACTTAGTGATCGTCCCTTCGAGCTACACTCTCCGACATCCGTTCGAGGATCGGCTGCTGACGGGGCTGGGCCCGTCACTTTCTTGAACTTGATGGTGTAGACGCCCTGCCAGATAAGATTCGGTGGCAGTGCCCCCGTTTTCTTCCGGATCTCGTGTTGGTGCATGGCCCCGTAGATCGTCAAATCCAAAGGCAAAGTCTGGTCGTCCATCGAAAATTCGAGGTGCCAATCCGTCGGCTTAGCCTTCAGTGCAGCGGCATAAGATGGTCGTGCAGGTGATGGCCGGGACGCTGGTGCTTCTCTTGGTGTCGCAACGCGCGTTCCATCCGGAGTCTGAGCCTCCACTTTCGACCCGTCCTCCGCGATAGACAAAGTCACAGTTTTGTCGGCGATGGAATTATCAGGATCAGCCTCATCATCGAACACACCCAGATCCTCATCTTCGTCATCCGTGAATTCAGCCGCAAGACCGGAATCTTCAGCGACAGGGAATGGCCCCGAGCTCGGGCCAGCAGCCGCAGTGTCGGATGGCTCGGCTGAGGATTCAGTTTGCGGATCTGCTTCAATCGGATCAGCGGGTGTTTCCGATGTTGAGCCCTTCTTCGCACTCAGGCGCTGGCTACGACGACGTGTAACGGTCGAGCCGGAATCAGCTGACGATGAACCAGAAGAGGTGGAAGCTGCTGCTCCATTCGATGTTGATGTTGGGGGTGCCTCGTCAGCAGGTGTACGAGAACTCGATGCGGCCCCAAAGCCAGATGCAGCCAGTGCTGCGAGCATCCCCGAGAGACGGGACCCTCCAGACAACAAGCCGGACACCCGAGGTCGAAGGTAATCATGAAGCGCCTGGAAAGTAGCTATCGCATGAATCGAGACCACGATATTGTGAAGATTCCGCGGAATGTCCGAATCATCCTCCGCCACTAAACGAAGACGAAGTTGACGAGCTAACAGGGACGGCGAGCTGCGCTTCGAGTCTACATTTCTTCTCTCAGTATTCAGGAGGAAAGAACCAAACTAGAGACACACCGTCGGTCCCCTGCCCAACTGACACCACTTCGAATGACTCCATTCGAGTTAGACTTTCCTGCAGTTTCTTGACAAATGTGGCGAATGCACCCGTCCTATTTCGTGCAGTAAACGCATCGAGCAGAAGTTCCTTGCGACGGGACACGCTCACTACAACGCGGCAATCAGCGACATGAGGAAGATCGTCTCCAACCCGAACACTCACATTTACGCTCAGCATCTGTGGCAAAGGACAACAAGCTATCAACAAGACCGCTCTGCAGGAGCTCGAAGCTAGACACGGTGGACATTGTGGCATCGAACAAATCTGCCAAGTCGTGCAACACCTGGGTGGCTTCCGACTCCGTTCCATCGACAGTGAGACGCGTCACGAGACTTTGTAAAACACTGAAGGAGCCTTCACCGTCGGCCTTATCGTCACCAGCAAGATACCTGAACTGAATGACGCGTGCCCGGAGAGTGATGGCGTCTTCAGGCTCAAGCTGGAGAGACGAAAGCTTCTTGAAACCGGGTAGGGTGGCGGCCATGCTAATGGCACTGCTGGTCGAAGCGGTAGGCGGCGGGGGAGTGTCATCTGACGAAGGCACAGCGGAATCAGAGTTATCGGTCATCTTCTCCTTGGACTCCTTGTCTTTCGACTTGGACGACACGATCGTGCGGGAGGAAAGAGTCTCAATCTCGTGGAATACACCCTCGCGTTTGAAGGCCGGCTTGTAGAGCGTGGGAATCTTGGCAAGTAGCATGTCTACAATCTGCAGCGCGCCGATGACCAGGGTTGGGTGATCTTTCGAAGACAAGATCGAGGACGCGAAACTCGCGACAGGAACGAACTAAGAAAGAATGAGTACTCACACGGAATAGGGCGTCTCACCCACGCACCCTCAGAACTCGTTTCAGACCGTCCGCATCCAGAAAGCTGACTGCCTTGAGAAGGCCCGTCAAAGTCTTGACCCGAACGGGAGTGATGACACTCGCAGCATACACATCGATGAGGATGGGCACCATCAGATCCATGAATCGGTCAACGACAGCTGGCTTCGAGCGCAGCATATCGGTCCGGTCCGGAGCAGGCACAATTCCCCCGACGTGTTCCTCAGTCTCCGCCACTGCGGTCTCAGCAGACATGGTATCATCCTGACTGACCGAAGACGAGGTCGGCTTTGAGCTTTCTGAAGCGAGTGGAGCAGAGTCAATGAGCATGGCAGCGGCCAAGGACTCCTGGACGGCTTGTCGTGCAGCAGCCCGTTCAGCTTTAGCTTTAGCTTTGATCATACGACCGAGGGCCTTCTCAGTGTAGGACTTGTGATCGAAGACACCATCTACGTAGACGGTTTGAGTCACAATGAGTCACAAAAAGCACAAAGAGAAAGAACTGGCCTTTGGGCAACGGGGGCAACAACTCAGACACAAGACTGAGAGTCTCTTCAATCTGATCCTTCGGACGATGGGCCAGATTCTCCATGACCGTCATGTCGGCCAGACCACCGCCCAGACCCTGTCCACCGCTGGCACTTCCTTGCTCCGCTGCAGCACTGGCTGAGGGAAGAACACCAGTGAGGATCTGATACGTAGTGTCGACAATATCGGCCTCGAGCAATGCGATAGTGATTTTGGGGCTCGCGCGAGCAGCAGTACCCAGTGCACGGACGAGAAGTGTGTACGTGTTGGGGGTGACTAGTGGCGCGCCGGCGGGTATCAGCAACTGATTGACCGCCCGGATGAGGTCAGCGTCCACAAGCAATTCCAAGTTCTCGACTGAGGAACGATGATACGAGTCAATCGCCCGGATGACACACATGCACGCAAACTCGACCAGTCGCTGATCTGAATACGACAGACAGTTCCGAATGATTGGCCACACTTCACGAATCTGTTTCGAGTGCTCAGGAGAAACATTTCGGCAGCAGTTTGAAGCGGCCTGGATGGCTGTCCGCTGAACGGCGATAGAGAAGAAGTCGAGGTAGTTGAGTAATGCGGAAAGACCATTCTCGCGGACGATGGCGCTAGGGAACTCCTCGGAGATCTTCTCCATAGTCTGCACATGAGTTGAATAGACCACATTGCACGAAGTGAGGGAGAACATACACTGAGTGTCTGCTCCGCCAAATCGATGTATGATATTTCGATGAGCTTGCTGCACAGCACAGGAATGGCTCCATGGTAAACGACGGTGTGCGCGACGCCCGGAAGCGCCTCCATGAGATTGGCAAGGCAGCGACAAGCGAGCACCTGGGCTTCGAGATTCTCGTCGCCTTGATATCCTCCACCACTTATAGCAAGGGCAGCAGCAAGGGCGGCATCCTCATCTTGCCCACCGCCGTCATCACCATCTCCGTCTTCATCTTCGTCCTCATCATTCCCGCGTCCTCCGAGGATCTTCACCAACTCCTTCACGAACTGCTCAACCTGGAACGACCCCGCAAGAGTGTCTTCAGTGCTCATACTCAACAACTCACTGAGCTCCTGTAACGTCAGAAGCCGTGTTGTGGGGTCTGCGGTCGGCTTGATGTTATTCAGCATCGTCTTGAGCCGAGACGAGAGCGACATCATGTACGATCCAAATTGATGGTAATCACCAAAAATGGCCAGTGCCGCACTCTCGTCCAAGCCCCCAGGAATTGGCGGACTTCCGCCAGTGCCAAGGGGACCACCACCATCACCGTCGTCTCCGTCGTCGTCGTCGTCGTCGTCATCATCATCGTGGTTCAGCTGATCCTCATTCATCGCGACATCCCCCGTCTCCTCGTTTCCCCCATCCCCATCCTCATTCTCGTTGTCATCCTTCATCTCAGCATCCATCATCTCGACGTCCTCGTCCTCGATCTTCGATGAGCCCGCAGCGGTCATGGCTTTCGACTTGGCCGGTTGCTTCCCCTTTGCTGCTGAGCTGTATGGCGGAAACGAAGGAAAGACGAAAAGAAGCACAGGTTTGTAAGCACTCGGAGATGGACAGATGCGGAAGATGTGCGACTCACCGTGATTTTTTCGGCATTTCGGTAGTGGAGTCTTTCACGGTTGTGGTGCTTGAGCGGAGTGAATAAGATGTGGTACGGATTCGTTTAGGGGAGGATCCAGCAGTGGGGTCGTCGTCGGAGCTCGGCTCGGGTACTGCGCGCTTCTTTCCCTTGGGATCGCTCACGGGCTCGTTGATACTCAGCGCGGGTTGTGCTGCCGGTATGTTCCGACGTGCGCTGTAAACGAAAGACACAAAGGAAAGGATCAGAACTCATTACAGTCGCACAGTGCACCCGACCCGAAATCGGGTAGGGCGCAACGATAGAACACACACCGTTTGGAAGGGCGGGTGGCGGCGGATTCAGAGGTGTCTTTCGATTTATTCTTGTTGCTGCGTTTGGGTTTGGACCGAGTCTGGGGTTGCGCGGTGGTTGATTGCTCGGAGTCGTCTGCCTTGTCTCTCGCCTTCTGCTTTGCGGCTTTCACTCTGGCGCTCGTGCGGAGCTCTGGTTGATTGGTTTCACTCGTGCTGCTACTGGCCTGAGTATGGTTTGAGGTTGTGTCCATTTAGAGTTGCAGCAAGGCCATCGATTCTGGCCTTGGCCGTGAAGGGAGGAGGAAAGCGTCTGTAGTCACGCGTAACGACTCTTGAAGCAATGACTTTGCAGTCACATTCGCATTGCATACGAGCCCAGTGCTTTCCGGATAGCAAGGAACACGACCCTGTAGTTTACGTGGATTATAAGTACAATATGTGTGGGCGCAGGCGACTATAATGCCATGAAAGACCTAGTGTACGATGGTACATAACTCCATATGATCTCAAGTTTCCAAGCGGAGTTCAGAATTTGTCAGGCGACCAGTCCTGGGCACTTTTGACCACTTCCATTTCGTCTGAGTGGGAGTAGCGCCTGGACTGGAATGATCATCGCCGTGAACCCGCCGACGGCATGATCATGGCAAATGACGCCTTGAACTCTCGTGACGGCTAGGACGGCTAAGTAGTGGTCAGGCCAAGAAGGGCCCGGTCACGACTCCGTCTCTGGAGCAGCCTGAAGCGCCTTTAAAGACAAAATCACGAGGCGAAGGGGAAAAGGATTGGCGATGCCCTGACGTAAACTTGGTAAGGAAAGCATCATGATCAGGCCGCGATTTGGGACTTGAATACGTGCTCAACAGCAATTATCGCCAGTCAACGATATGAATTCTGAAGATGGGACTCGTTGCTGGTGGCAAGACAGAAATGATTGCAAGTATGGAAGAGGGTTGTGAGGTCAACATGACATTGATATCAAGAGCATTGCCACAGAACAAACTATCCATCCGACTGTTCTAATCTCTCTCATGAAAGAGTTGGATATGAATGCTGACCAGTATAGAAGGGATCTCCTGTCTTCCAAATGCCATAGCAGTGAGATTCATCTTCATACACTATTGGATACCACCTAGCAAAGCACCTGGGGTCTTCTGCAACAATTTTCCAGTGCCTAAGAATGCCTTGGCAAGCTCAACCTGGAAATTGATCAACAACACTAGGGTTGCTAGCACATGATCAATTCTGTTGTTTGTCCATCCAGCCATCAGTTCATCCAGCTTATGAAAACCAGTGATTGAACCACATCTGGAGCAATACCTATGAGGTGAGGGACATTCAAATACCAAGAAAAGATTCAAATATGGCTTGGATGAAAGCAGGTATAAAAACTGAGCTTTTTGACACCCAAAATATACATGTTCAGTGTAACACTTCCCCAGGCCTTGTGCATTTTCAAAGTTTGAAGGTGCCAAGAACAAAGATCTGTGTCCATTCTCATAGTTCAATCATTTTTCACATCATTTCATTGATTGATCATCTTATCTTGGCATTGGGCTATCTTATCACAGATCACAGTATCATACAGTTCAGGTTAGGGGTTCAGAGGGGTTATCTGTACATTGAGACTGTGTGAAATATGCTCCAGAAGGTTCCACTACAACTTATGACCAGCATTCCACACAGTACATAGTCTCATGACTAATTTGATGTAGATATAACTCAGACTGGACTTGGTATAAATACTGAAGCTATTATGTTGTATTCTCCAGTCTTGGAATTGACTTCTCTTTTTGACTTTATTCTTTGTTGATTGTCACATAATTCCAGGACTTCCCTCATACCTCATAACTCTGTATCCCTCACTGCTACACCTGCTATATCCTCTTCATCCTTGCCAATCCACTCACCCTTTTACCAAATCATCTAGTTGTTCTCTGTGATCACAGTGAAGGGTTCATATCAAGCAAATAGCACCAGGCCATGGGTACCATTGAGCCCAACCCAAGCCTTATGGTAGCTACAAGGATGTGTGTGACAATCAACCCAAAAACAAGTCGAAAAGAGAAGTGAATTCCAAGACTGGAGAATACAACCAAGTAGCTACAGTATTTATACCCAAGTCCAGTCTGAGTCATATCTACAACTAATGAGTCATAAGGCTATGTACCGCATGGAGCACTGGTCATGGGTTGCAGTAGAACCTTCTGGAGCATGTGTCGCGCAGCCTTGGATCGATGAAGATAATCCCTAGGACCCCTAGCCCGGACCGTCTGATGCCGTGATCCGTGATAAGATAAGTCGTGCCAAGATAAGATAAGATCGTCGATGATAAGATGAAAAAGTGGCCGAACTATGACATTACCCCCTCTCTAGGGTCGATGTCCTCATCGACTAGGCCAATGGGAGTGAAGACGTTGTCGTAAGGGTCGAAGAGTTGTTGTTGTGGGTATGGAAGGCGCTCGTCTCTGGGTTTGTAGCGATGGATGAGATAGTCCCAATGTCCGGCTTCGAGCGTTGGCAGGAGGCGAATGCGTGTGTCTGGGTTTGATTGTTTCCTCTGCCAATCTCTCAGGACCTTCTTCGCGTGGGTAAGGTGACGTGATGGTTCCCAGGTGTTCTCGCTATGCGGCCATCCCTTCCATTTGACCAAGTACTGTTTTCCTCGGCCGACGTTTTGCTCTTTCACAATTTCTTCGACTTCCCACTCCTCTGCTCCTCCGATCATCTTGGCTACGGGCCTCTTCTCTCGGCGATGGGGGGGTGGTTCGTGATAGGGTGTCAATAGTGACTCGTTGAACACCGGGTGTCTTCGGTCCGTGTCCGGCAAATCCAGCTTCCATGCGGCCGCTCCAACCTTCTCCAGTATCTTGTATGGTCCTAATCTCTTGTCGCTCATCTTCTTTGATGGTCTATCCGTCTCGATATTTTCCCCTTCTATGTACACCTTCATCCCAACCTTCAACTCCGGAACTTCTTTTCTTTGTTTATCGTAGTATTTTTTCATTTTTTCTTTTGCTTTTTCTAATGCTGCTTTTGCTTCGTCTTGTATTTCTTTGATTCTTTTTACGAATTCCTCCGCCGACTCGTTCCTTGACTCCATCCGTTGCTCCACTCCCTTCCACGGGTGATATCCGTGATTCGCATAGAATGGCGATATTTTGGTAGACGTGTTCATCTTGTCGTTGTATGCGAACTCCGCCATTCCCAGCCACTCCGACCAGTCCGTCTGATGGTAATTGACGTAGATGCGGAGATAATGCTCGATCTCCTGATTCATGCGTTCTGTCTGCCCATCCGTGATCGGGTGATATGCGGTCCCCGGGTTCATTTCTATGCCCAACATCCGATTCGTCTCCCTCATGAAGCCCTTGATGTAGCAGGAATCCCTGTCGGTGATGATCTTGCGAGGGATCCCGTGGTAGCGGAAGACTCGGTCCCTGGTTAATCGTGCCACTCCTTTGCTGCTGATGTCAGTACTAATTGGTTCGACATGGATCATTTTGGTGAAGGTGTCACACCACACATGAATTGCGTCATACCCGTTACTGACCGGCAAGGGTCCGATCTGATCCATGGAGATGATTTCCCACGGCGCGTTTGGGACTGCATGCGGGTGTAGACTCCCTGTCCTTGCTCTCCTGGTCTTGGTCCGCTGGCACGCCTCGCACGTTTGGATGTATTTCCGAATTTGGTTTCCCATCCTTGGCCACCAGTAATTCCTTTCCACCATCTCTTGCGTTCGGTTGATCCCAGCGTGTCCGACCAAAGGGGTGTCGTGGTGTAGTCCGATGATCTTGTCCCGCAGCTCCTCGTCCCTTGGTACATAGAGCTTCCCATGATACGTGATAAGCCCCTCTTCCTTCTTCCATCCGACGAGGGACTTCTCCAAGGCCGCCTTGACGCTTCCATCAATTGATCGAATGGCCTTGATTTCATCGATTAGCTGCCGATCCTGTCCCTCGAATGTGACTTCTTGTGATCGGAAGAACTCGGGCTTTAGTAGCGTGACGTCCTTGTTGTCGTTCTTGCCCTGATCGTGATCTGCTCGTCGGGATAAGAGATCCGCCTTGCGGTTGAGCGCGCCGGGCCGGTGTCGTAAGGTGAAATCGAACTCCGCCAACTCCGTGATCCATCGTGCTTGCCGTCGATTGAGCTTCTGCGGCTTCCGAAAGTACTCGAGATTCTGATGATCGGTGAAGATCTCGAACGTTTCTGTGGCTCCCAGGAGTAACTGCCTCCATTCGTCAAGCGATAACATGATTGCAAGCATTTCCTTGTCGTAGATCTCGTAATTTCGCTCGGTTTCAGTCAATGCGTGCGAAATAAATGCGATTGGGCGCCAAATGCCGTCTTGGTTTTGGCTCAAAACGGATCCTGTTGCCCCTTCCGAAGCATCGGCTTCCAGACGATATTGGCCGGTGTCGTTTGGCAGTGCTAAGACCGCATCCTCCGCGATTCTCCTCTTCAACCCATCAAACGCCGCATGTTCATCCGGACCCCATGACCATCCTGCCTTCCCTGTCAGCCGCGTCAACGGCTTGGCGACCTCCGCATATCCCCGAACGAAACGTCGATAGAAGTTTGTGAATCCGAGGAAGGCTTGGACTTGCTTGACGCTCTTCGGTTCCGGCCATTCCATCACGCCCTTGATCTTGACAGGGTCCATCCGCATCGAGTTGTGTCCAATGATTACACCCAGGTATTCGATTTCCGTGCGTTCGAACTCGCACTTTTCCGGCTTCAGGTATAATTTGTGCTTTTGGAGCAACTCGAGTACCCGTTTGGTGATTCGTCGATGTTCATCCAGATTTTCTGTGAAGATCAGTATATCGTCCAGATAGACTACTACGTGTCCCTCGTTGATCAGTTCCTGGAGTATGTTGTTCATCATGTTTTGGAAAGTTGCCGGGGAATTCGTGAGACCAAAGAACATAACCAAGGGCTCGTAAAGTCCGCGGTTTGTGCGAAACGCAGCCTTCCACTCATCGCCCTCTTTGATCCGTACGTTGTTGTATCCCCACCGGATGTCTAGCTTGGTGAAGAACTTGGCGTCGCACAGGTTGTGGACCAGTTCGGAAATCAGCGGTAGCGGGTACCGATTTCGGATCGTCATCTCATTCAGCTTCCGGTAATCTTGAACAGGCCGTAGCGAGCCATCCTTTTTCTTGACGAAGAAGAATGCTGATGCCATCGGTGATTTTGATGGCCTGATCCGTCCGCTGGCTAGGTTCTCTTGTAAGAACTCGTCGAGTTTGACCTGCTCGTTTCTCGATAAGGGGTACACCTTGCAGTCCACTGCTTTGGAGCCTGGTT